TGACTTGTTATCCTATTGGTTATCAAATTCATCCACTTTACTACTGCTGCTTCAACGTACTCTCAAAGCAAGTGGAGCAGCAAGCTTAACTCCACAAAGGCGAAGATCAACATCAGCTTCTCTGTTTGGAAGGATGTCTCAAGTAGGGAGAATCTTTACTTCAATTTTTGAGTATCTCTGAAGGCATAAGCATACCTCAACTTGCAGTTTGATAGTTTTTTGTCTTTTATGTTCTGACTTAACCTCTTAGGGGCTTCGAGGTTCTCCACAAACTGCTGGTTTCTCATTTCTTAATGGTCGGGTGCTTGGTGGTCTTGATGACCTACGACAAGTCGAAGCGAAATATCCAGCTTTGCTTTTCAAACAGCAACTGACAGCCTTCCTAGAGAAGATATATGGAATGATAAGGGACAATTTGAAAAAAGAGATATCTCCGGTGCTGGCATCATGTATTCAGGTATTATGGAGCTATTCAACGCTTGAATTTGCTTCATTTTGCATTTTCAAAAATTTAGACACCCCCACAATAATAATAATCTAACTTGAGTTGCAATTTTGTCTGTTGATTGATCTATTTCTGCATGTATGTATTCCTTAACAGACTCTATTGTGGATTTTTTTGTAACCTGAGAATATTTCTCTCTTGCATCAGTTTGATTTATTTGTCATTGCATTTTTTATATTGCTTCTAGTTAACATATTTGTGTAGAATAGGACAAATTGTCAGATACATAGGAAGGTTGTAGTTTGTGACATCTAGGATTGTTTAAGGTCAATGAAAGCTAACAGTTTAAATAATTGATGGATGACCAATTCAGGTGCTTGTTTGCAGCATGTAGCTTCTATTCATGTTAATGGTGTGTATTGTTAAGTATTCTCTTTTTTTGCATTTCTAAATATATTTTTGCTCCCTATTCACGTCCATTACGAGGCAGGCACCCAGAACTTCCCGGGCTAGCCTAGTGAAGGGGCGTTCTCAAGCTAATGCTGTAGCTCAACAAGCTCTTATTGCTCACTGGCAAAGCATTGTGAAAACTTTAAATAATTACTTGAAGACAATGAGGGCCAATTATGTGAGTGAAGTTTCAGATACCTTAACCACAAGTGAATTGTTTTTTTTTATGGCAACATAATTCTATTTGCTCTCTTTACTCTGCAGGTTCCTTCATACCTGGTTTGCAAAGTGTTTACTCAGACATTTTCATTCATTAATGTTCAATTGTTTAACAGGTAAATGCACTAAAAAAATACCAAAACTTTGAGGTTCTACCTTCTTGTTCTTGACCACTTTGATATTATATTTCAAAATTTTGCATGACATTTAAAATTGTTTTTGCAGCCTTCTTTTGCGGCGTGAATGTTGCTCATTTAGCAATGGGGAGTATGTTAAAGCTGGGCTAGCGGAACTGGAACAGTGGTGCCATGATACAACTGAGGAGGTAGCAACTCATACTCTTATATAATATCATAACTTCAAACCTTTTCTCATTGTTATTTTTTAAAAGACCAAATGTTGAATATCTGCTCTATATTCAGTTTGCAGGCTCAGCCTGGGATGAGCTGAAGCATATTAGACAAGCAGTTGGCTTTCTGGTTCGTCTTAATACTTCTGTGGTGTTTACATTTTGGCATGGTTATTTATTTTGAACTTCACTTGTAGGCCTTCATTTTTTATGTGAATTTTTCTGCTAAAATAGGTGATACACCAGAAGCCCAAAAAGACCTTGAAAGAAATAACCAATGATCTTTGCCCAGTGAGTTGCTTTTACAAACCTTTTGAACTCTCCTTTCTTTTCATTTCTCTGATTTCCATTTGCTTCTGTCAAATCTCAGGTGCTTAGCATACAGCAGTTGTACAGGATAAGTACAATGTATTGGGATGACAAATATGGTACACATAGTGTATCTTCAGATGTAAGTTAAAATTGCTAGTGTGTTCTTTTCTTCATCAGCTTTGAACTTTTTTGATAACATGGAGCTGATACAAAATGTTTCGACAGTTGATTATGAGTGCATTTATTTTCCAATCTTCATTGTCAACATTTCTGGATTATTATTAATCACCAGATCCTTGCTTTATCCTATCCATTCCTAGTGGTTCCTTTATGAACTTTGCTTTGCTAGTATTCATGACTTTGACTGCATTATTTGTTCCCAACTTTTATCTCTGTCTGTATGTATATGTTTAAGCACAAAACTTGGAAAGTAGAGAGAACTATCCTTTCCCATTTTCTATTACAAAATGTCAAACATTATTGTTTGCTAGCTGCTGCTTCCTTTATGTCGCAGTTTCAACCTAAAATGTTCGCTGCAGGTAATTGCAAGTATGAGAGTTATGATGACTGAGGACTCCAATAATGCTGTCAGCAGTTCATTTTTATTGGATGATGATTCAAGGTACAAATACAGCTTAAATACATTTGTAGTGATGGTATCCTTTTTGTCCATGGCTATAAAACAAACTATTCACTCTTTTCTCATGCAGCATTCCCTTCTCTGTGGATGATATTTCCAAGTCAATGCAACAAATAGAGGTGGCTGAAATTGATCCTCCACCTCTGATTCGCGGAAACTCAAGTTTCACATTCTTGTTACAACATTCAGACTGAAAGAAGCCATCACTTTGTCGCCCTCACTCTTCTATTACAATCTTTGCACAACCCCAAGATTTATGTGCTGCAAAAATATGTGCATACTGTGTAATTATAGTAGGCTTTCCTCATGCAAATATATAAAGTGTGTGGGCCAATTCTTTTCTTCCATCCTTTATAATAGGTTGGTTGTATGTGCTATAAGGGTCCAGTTTACCAGTTTTAGATTTGGGGGTTCTTATAATCTTTTATTCTTTTATCATTCTTAGTATTTTATTGTAATTCAGAAACCAAAAAAAAAAAAAAAAAAAGGAAGTGCCACTTTTTATAGGCCAATGAAATTTGTAACAAAGTCTTTGTGTGATTTCATATGAACAAAGATTATTTTAGAGTATTCTTTGTGTCTTTAATCTTTTTAATTATACTTATTGCATATTTAAACTTCAATTTTTATTATAATCCATGCTTAACTAGTATTTATTTATGCTGAAAACCATTATTTACTTGGTTCATATTAAGTTGGTTGCATACATAAAAAGATAAAAAAAAGAATTAGTTTGTAGCATTATGGAAAATGTGTAGCTGGAAACGCTGTGTTGGCCTACGTTTATCCCGATGACTACCTCTCCCTCGTAAAATAAGCGATTATCTCTTTCATTGCATCTCTGAGTGTTGTCCTTTTAGCCATCAGTGGGCATCCTCTCAAGAACAAGTTTTGTACATGGCTTCTTACAATAGCTATGATGTTCGCAATTACGTTCGTTTCACTAACCTTCACAACTGCGGTTTGCCTTGTCACCCCTGTTCATATCTTTTCTACAAATTCCAAGGCATTAAATAGAACACAGTATATCTGGGTTTTTTTGGTTTCACTCGTTGCTGTGTTTGCTACGATTCGCCTTCTCTTTTGGCTAGTCAGTCGTCTGGGCAAGTTACGCTTCGTAAAGAAAATACTCTCACGTCCGATGAGGAATCAGGGTTTCATCTGTTGAGAAGAATAAATTTGAATGGAAGGTTCAAATCACCAGTGGTATCTAATATCTGATATTTAGTAAAAGGTTCAGTTTAATCGTCAATTTAGGTTTGCTCAGTGGCACCAATGTTGATTGGGTAGCACACGTAAAGTCCGCTCAAGTTCGAGCTTTCATGTCCTCATTCTGCCAGCTAAATTAATTAAGGATTAATGATTATGTAATATCAAAAAAATAGAGCTTTTCTATCACAATGGAATGGCATTTTACATTCTCTTAAAAATGTTCATTTGTTTATTTATTTTGTTCACTTTTTTTTAAAACTCAAAAACAGTCATTCATTTTTTTTTTTTACAAAAATTATTGTATGATAACTCTTTATAAATGAAAAATATCGTCAAAAATTATTTAATTACTTACGAAACAAAATTATATTTTATTGTTTAATAACTGAAATTTAAATCTTGAATTTAAATTTTATCGATAATTATTTGTTAAGGTCATCTCGAATGTATAATTTGTAATTATCTTAAGTTAACAGATACGACATATCTTATCATGACTTAAGGGATTGAACAACTTATTTACTCTTAAATTTTTTTTTTTTTAAAAAACCTTCATTTCTTTAGTTCTTAATCTGAAAATATACTTATTGCTTATTTAAACTACAATTTTTGATTATAATCCATGCTTAACTAGTATTTATTTATGCTGAAAACAATTATTTACTTGGTTCATATTAAGTTGGTTGCATACATAAAAAGGAAAAAAAAAGAATTAGTTTGTAGCATTGATGAGTAAAGTTGAATTTTCAATTATTTAATGAGAAACACAAAAACATGTTTTATTTTTGGAGAAAACTTCTGTCTGAATGTTTTGAATTTTTTGGCCTTTATAAAGCTGATATTTTAGACTCATTTTTTTATAAAAAAAATAATATGTCATAATGTGTTTCATTTCCCAAAACTAATTTTTTTTTTATTATGTCTAAATTATTTTAAGTATTAAAAAGAAAGAGATATTGGGCTTGTTTGTAAGCAAAGACTTAAAATTGGGCTTTAATTAATATATTCAGAAGTTTGGGCCCAAATAAAAAGTTTTCAGAAGTTGACTTGTAAATTGAAATTACACATTTTTGACGTGGCATTAATAGTCGTTAAATTCGAGCTCATTAATGCCAGCTAATCAATAAAACCCAACCGACTTGCGCCGATGAGTCAATTAGTTAAAGACCTAAAAAAAAATAAAGGAGAACATATATATATATATATATATATATGAAAATCGCACCTGAAAAACCCTAAACCCTCGAAAAGAAAAGAATAGAAGGACAAGAAACAGAGCAAAGACAAGAAACAGAGCAAAGTGAACCAAACACATCCCACACAGCCGAAGAAAATCCAAAAGACGCTAAACCACACAGAAAACCAAAAGCCAAAAAAAATCCAAAAGACGCTAAACCCAGAAAACCAAAATAAAATCCGCAAGAACCAAAACCCAGAAACGAGAAGGCTAGTATGGACGGTAGTTTTAGTCTTGAATTATCGCTCCAGAGGTTTCTTGCTCGTTGCCCTAAGGTTGGGCGTGTTCCGCGATTCGAGTCACTTGCGAGAAAGGTATTTCTTCAAACCCCTTCCCCGAGGTTTTGTATTTTTTTGTTTTTTTTTTTTTTGTTGATGATCACAAAGTGGAAAATAGAAAATGAAAGCTAAGAAATTACTAAAAGTTTTGGAAATTTTGCTTTAAGAGAGTTGGTAACGAGACGCTAATGTTGAGGAGGAGACTATCATTAACTAATTTTATGTTTTTTTTTTTTTTTTTCTTATTTCTTGGTGGTAGACAGAGAGTATATATACAATGTGACTTCCTTCAGTTAAGCTCCGTTTCATAAATTTTTTTGATTTTTGCTATTTGTCTCTAGTTTTCTTTTCAAATTTTAGTTTTTGCTATTTTCTTTTCATTCATATTTTTGCCAAAAAAAAAAAAGAAGAGTAAAAGCGATTGACTTTAGTTGTTTGATTGATGAGAGAAGGAAAAGTTTATAAATATGAGTCTTGCAAAAATTTTTTTGGCCTTTCAAAAAAAAATTTATTGTTATTGTTGTTCAACAAGATTCAAAATTATAACATAATATCATTCCTTTTTGGCCTTTCATACAGTCGACCCCAAAGTTATGTGATATAAGGCTTAGTTTGTTGTTGTTTTGGTTGTAGTCAAAATTTTATTTTATCCATTGAATTTAGTGTATATCATATATTGAAAGGCCATTTTGGCCATATCTTTGTTCATATTTTTAATAGTTTTTGGCTTCAATGTTCACAAATTATGAGGTTTTCTATTATTGACATTGTTATTTCTAATAGTTGGTTTAAATTTGTAATAATTTGCAATTTTGATTTGGATTGGGACTTGGGGTAGGGACACCTGCTGACTGAAGAAGAAGTGGTGAGTTCTGTGGCAGAGTTGATTCTGCACCCTAACTATACAATTTCGTTGGTTGGGTGTTTCCGTCCGATAGCACGAAAAGTAGTGGACAAAGCTGTGACTTTGCTTCGGCTTGTGCCCAATTTGAGGACAAATTCTGAAGTTAATGTCGACGAATCAGGATATCTTGATCATGAAGAAATTGTTAATATTATTGAGTTTCACATTCAACATGGAAGGGGTTTGGATCTTCATGAGCTTGCTTGTCTGGCCTTCTGCCGTGTGCTTGATTTGGCTCCTTTTTTGTTGGGGTAAATTTATATTGTTATGTTAATATTCTCTTTTTTAATCCTGTTGATAGAACAACTTGCTGCATGCAACAGTTAGTAACTGTAACTAATGTAGCCTTCTATTTCTACGCTAACTGAAGAAAACATTTTTCTGTTACCTTGTATTTTCATTTTAAGTTTTAGCTAATTATGAAGAGGAAGCTCTACTCTATACCACTTCACCTAGTCAATTCCTGAGTGTCATAGATGATAAACTTTTCATTTTTGTAATTATTATAGATGGGCATTCCCAAGTATGAGGCAATTGCTTTTCCTGTTGTTGCTTGTGTTAGAGGTGTTAATGCAATAATTTGAAAGAAAATATCTTATTTAAGCTTCTTCTTAGAAGATGGTTGTTATGCCTTAAGTTGTTAACATCTGTTGCTTGAATCATTTTGTCTATATTTCATTTTAGAAAGTCTTCTAGGACATCTGGATTGGTTTTCTTTCATGCATGCTTTGAATGGAGAGTGGTTGCTGTCTGAGTTTTGACAGGATATAAATTCATTCCTGACCTAATATTTGTGATGTGGTTTGTAGTAATATTTGAAATTAAGTTAAACTTTTCTTTTCTTTGTACTAGGTCTGTGTTAAATTACTTCACATTTGCTTCTCCTCCTTTTGAGCGCATTTTGATCAAAGGAAGTGTCTTTGAACTGTCTGGCAAGGTATATATGATCTTAACTTATTCTCATCTCAGAATTAGAACTGGTTTTCTTTCTTTCAACATATCTTGTTAAGATATCATCTAAATGCAACATTGATGGTTTGATGCCTGACAACTTTGTGTTGATTGTAATGCATAATCAAAAAATTTGAACTGGGAGATAATGGCATGGCCAGGGGTTGTCTTTTTGATTAAGATGGTCTATAATAATATCTAGTAAAGAAATAACTGCATTACGACACCCTACTAAACAAAAAATTTTGTTCATTTCTTTCTTATATCATACTAGAAGACTACAAGTTAACTATTTTGTTCTGCTTCCATTCACTATATAGCTTGTGTTTTTTTTTCTTTCTTTAAATCAGGTTATTACCTATTACTTGCATGCCGTGCGGACATCTTATCGCTTTCTGGTTGCGGAAACCAATATTTTCTCTAAATATTGGGATTGGTCATGTTTCTTGGACTTTGTAAAGGAGGTTGTAAATCTCGATCGAGACATTGATGTCAAGTTTGAGAAGGATATCTCAGATGTAAGGTGGTGTGGTGTACAAATTTTATCTGTCATCTTGAATATGAATGACAGAGCAATTGCAAAGTTTGGTGTTGGGGTTGAAGAAGCACATTCATGTTTATTGCGGTTTGTTTAGCTTTGTACCAAATTATTTAGACCAAGATAAAGCTTATATAGTTTGTTTTTTTTTTTTGGTTAAATCTTGTTTCAACTTTTCAGATGGGAGGAGTTCTGTCAAGATATAGCTGTGGAGAAGGCTGGTGCATATATTGGAACCTTTGAACACAATAAGTCGGATTCTGAAAATAAAGAACTTGGTTTAAGTCAAGAAAACTGCCTCCAATTATTTGGCCTTTGTTCTTTTACATCATCACAGTTTCATGAAACTAAGCCTCCTTTAAGAAGTCGGAGGCTGGTAGAATGGTATGTGGCATTGGCCTAAAATTGTTGAAGATTTTCCTTTGGGTTAAAAATGAAAGCATCTATTTCATTTTCCTGTGATATTCATCTCATTGATGTTGGTGTCTTTATTGTAGTGAAGCTTTCAGTCATTCTAGATTTTATTGTTATACTTATTTGACTTTGTGATTCAGGGATGATAAATCAGCTGGAATTCCTTTTGTCATGACATCTAGATTAAAGCAAAGTTTTGAGATGGTGCTTTTGGCAGTCAGTCAAAAGTGGCCTGTTCTTCTGTATGGCCCTGCCGGTGCTGGGAAATCTGCCCTTATTAGCAAGATGGCCCGTGATAGTGGGAACCATGGTATTCTATTTTTTAAATGTATTCCTTTATTAATTTGTTTATTGTTATGCCTATTTATAATCATAGAAATAGAGCATGGTCTGCTGGAAGCTAAAGACTACCTACCATTTAGTCACTTATAGGGAATGCATATTTATATTCATTTTAGTATCCTGTCAACAAGGCTAGTAAAATAGAAAAATAATAGTCCAAATTGCATAATTTGGTTTCCTTTTGTGTAGAAGCATTCAATTGTCTTGGATGAAATTTAGGTAAAGTTTCTTATGTTCTTTAGTTTTCCCAATAATGCTATGTTAAGATTGCTCAATTAGCATTCACTATTGTTAACAGGATTGTTAAGGTGGGTTAAATTTAAGTCAGTTTATTGGAGATGCAGAGAACCTAAGGTGTTGCTTATAAGGATCTTCACCTAAGTCTTACCCATTTATCTTTGTTGGCTAATCGATTACGGTCAAACCCTAGGTTAGTGTGGCTTCACACAGTCCAAATACGATAATATTTGTTGCTGAAACTGTCATAAACCTGTTCTTCACTAATGAGAGGACTTTTGTGCTTATGTTGTCTTTTCTAATGGTAATCCTGCGAGGATTAGAGATTCTAGATAGGGAACTATCAAAAGTAAATCCTAGAAACTCATAAGCTATAAATAAAACATTAATTTACTATAAGGACTAAAGTGGACCTCTAGAGATTTCAAGAAATTCTGGAGATCTTGAATTTCTTAATTATCTTTAGCACTTACACTGCATATAACTGAAATACAGTTACTTAAAGAACCGTGTAAACTAAGACTTAATGATAAATTGTAAATATGGATGGTCCAAATATCAAGTGGAGATCCTTATTTTTTGGGCCAACTTGATCTTTAAGTTTGCTTGTCACTTTTTTGATCTATATCATTGTATCTCTGTCTCTCTTTCTTTCTAGTTTACTTGCTCGATTAATTATTTTCATGTATCTTTCTATTTCTTGGCATGCTTTATGTGTAGTGCTTTCTATTTACATGGATGATCAAATTGACGGAAAAACATTGGTTGGGAGTTATGTTTGTACTGAGCAGCCAGGTGAATTTAGATGGCAGCCTGGGCCACTTACCCAGGTTTGTTCTGTTTAAATGAGTTTCTTTTGCTTTCTTGTTTAGGCTTCAAATTTTTTTTTTTTTTGGGGTCCTGCTTATTTGTGATATCTTCAAATTCCATTTCCTCTCAGGCTGTTCTAAATGGATTTTGGGTTGTCTTTGAGGATATTGACAAAGCACCATCAGATGTGCTGTCTATGATATTACCGTTGCTGGAAGGTTCAAGCTTATTTATAACTGGTTTTGGGGAGGTATGTGAGCCTGTTCTAAAATTTCATCATGAAACTAGTGTTGTTCCTGTTTGTCCTTGTTGTAGCTCCACTGATAGGAAGTTCTCTTTGAAATTTTTAGTGTTTTTAGGTGGTTTGCCTCCTTGGATTCACTTGGTCAATTATATGTGTTAATCCGGCCTTGATTAGGCAGTTTGCTATTTTGATTTTTTTGAACTGGCTGTTTTTTGCAAACTATTATAATGCTTATGTCGTCTAATGAAATTCTTATGTTAAGCAGAGACTTAATACGTGTCAGGCATTAATGGGATCCCTTATATGCTGGCATATGCTTGTTGATTCTGAACCTGAGTCCAAATGAAGTCCTATATATCTTCAGCTTTCTGTCCTATTGAAAAAATTATTATTTTTTCTTTCTAAATAAATTTCCTTGACAGTTTCTCTTTATCAACTTGTGTAATTTTTTTCAATTTGAGTTTTGATGTAGGCCTTTTAACTTGTCTTATCTTGTCTACATCCATGGTACATGTTGTGACAGACAGAACAAGATAGAGAAGACAGCTTAATTCCTTAATTTATGTTTTTAGAGAATCTAAAGATGCATCTGGGGATTGTGCAGGAAATTAGGGTGGCAGAAAGCTTCCATTTATTTTCAACTATTTCTACATCTAAAAGTGATATATCTCGTGGAATAGAAGGTCTGTTATTCTCCACGTAGCCTAAAATACTGGTTGCATTTTTTTTGCTTTCTTCTTTTCCATATGATTTTCTGACTTAAATTAAATGCCTCATCTGTTTATGGTTGTGTTGTGAAAATGAATTCTGCTTTCTGCTGGAGTGTTGCTCTTTTGTATTTGTCGGATACTTTCACAAAGTTTCCTGAGGATACCTTTTGTTTACTTCGCTAAGTTCTTTCTACGTGACATTTTCTGGAAAGTTCTTTCTAGTTGATCTTCATTAGGAAAAACCTCAATATTAGAAGAAATCTCTAGAATAAAACTATTTTATTCTTCTATATTTTTCTTATTACAATGCTAGAATTGTATGAAAATATATAATCTAAAGACTGAATATTCTCAGCCTTAAAACCCAAGATTTTCATGCATTAAAACAGCTAATCAAAGGAGTAATTTACTCTCTACACATAATAGGAAAATATTTAATGGGTTTGGTGTAATTACCCAAATCACTTCTTATTCTAAAAATAAAAAACTTAACTAAAATAGATAAAGTCAACTAATCAATTAATAATGAATATTAAATTTCCACAATATTAATTAAGGTTTTGGTTAAAATTGAAAGAATACTGCTAGTGTTGAATCTTATTAAAACCAGCTGTTGATTGGGTATTTTGAATTGTCGTAGTTTCTATCTCTCTTGTCATATTACAAGGAGTGATGGATAACATTTTGTAACTTTTTTCCTTGGTAAAGTCTCAATTGGCATAAGTTTCTTGGTCATAGTCAAAGGATTCCATCCATTGGTATTTAATTCTTCTTAAATCAGCTTTTTGATCATATTTGGGAATCAGCTGTTAGAAACAAATGGGGAAGTCGCAATTAAAAGCTTGTCAAGAAATTTTCAAGCCACTCAGTAATTATAAAAGATGATTCAAATAATTTTTTCTATGAGCAAGAGTTAGTAATCCTAAAAATATGAGCATTTTGAGATGTATTTGGTGCACTGTTTGACGAGATGCCAAACTGAAGTTGAATTTAGGTTTACTATCTTTTAATGTGGTTACACATAAAACTTCAACCTGTGATTCTTATGCCACTGCTGCCTTATATTATTTGGATATTTCTCCTTGTTAAGGATTTCTTTGGCATAACTTGTCTGCGATGTATATTTTACAGACTGTTAAGGTTAATTTATTTGTTAGTTATGGCTTCTATTGTAATTATTGTGGTGGTAGGTGGGAATTTAAATGGAGTCCTGTGGAGGAAAGTGTTGATTGAGCCGCCAGGTGACCAAGACCTAAGAAAGATCGTAAGAGCATGGTATCCAAGTTTGGAGCCTCTTGCTGAAAAGCTTGTAGGTAGGTCCAACCATTCCTCAAGAAGCTCTGGTGTTAGACTAAATTATGCTTTTTCTACTAATCATGTTTTTGCTTCAGAAACTTTTGAAGGGGTTAACTCCATCTGTTTGCACCAATTTTTGAACTTTCATTCTGGAAACTCTGTTTCCTTAAATTCTCTCAGCAAGTTCTCGTTGAGGTAAAAGCTGGCACTAAAGATTCAATATTTGTTGATAACAATAACACAATTTGAGTTCTCTGGCACTTGATGACAGGGATCTACTCAAGTGGTGCAAGAGAATTGCTGGACTGGGTTTTAGTTCTATGCTGACAGCTTTTGAATGTTATTGTATTTATCGAGAGGTATGATATAGCATATGTATTCTGTTTCTTTGATTTTTTTTTGTTGCTTCTGAATTTTGTTATTAGTGTATTCTGCATCTTATTCTTAGTGAGTTACTGTCTCGTTCTCATAGGCTGTGGAAGTCTTTGCCGCCTTTTCAACATCTGTTGGAAATAGGTTGACCATAATGAAAGACATTGCAAAGAAGTGGGCTGTTCCAACTTCTGAGACAGAAATGCTGTATCCTCATGATGAACCTATAATTCAGGTGCCTATTATTTTAGATTGTTGTGAGTTAAATCATACACGATTCATTTGACAATTTGGTTCTCATATTGAAAATTTAATTGCAGGATTTGCTTTCCGAAGTTAGGATTGGACGAGTCACGCTTCAACGAACTGAAGCAACTGTTAGTAGCAAGCTTTTTGAATTGCATTAATTTAGTTTATGTTGTCTTTAGCTTCTTTTTGATATTGTGATTCTTGCAGTTATATGATGAAAAGAGACCTTTTGTTAAGATTCGTAGTTCTTTGCATGTACTTGGGAGAATAGCTTGCTCTGTTAAGTACAACGAGCCTGTTCTCTTAGTTGGTGAAACTGGCACCGGGAAGACTACACTTGTGCAGAATCTGGCCTTGAGGATGGGTCAGAAACTTACTGTTTTGGTATGATGGTTGAGGGTCCCTCTCTATCTCTGTAGCACACACAAACATGGGGTGTAATTGATTGGCTCTTACATATAGTACACTCACGTGATTATGTTTTTTGTTCCAGAACTTAAGTCAGCAAAGTGATGTTACTGATCTATTAGGAGGATTTAAGCCTATGGATGCACGGTCTATTTGCATTCCCCTATACAATGAGTTTAAATTTCTTTTTTCGAAGGCATTTTCTATGAAGGTATTCTTAATTTTGGTATTTTGTTATCTTTTGTTGTTGTTTAGGTTGTGAAGTAACCTTTACTACTGTTTGCTTCTTATATGCAGGGTAATGATGAATATTTTGCTCGTTTACAAGCGCTTTTGTGCAGTAAGAACTGGGAGAAGTTACTTCGTAAGCTTAAGAATGGTGTTGATTTATTCAAAAAGTTGGTAGAAGAAGAGAGGTCAGGTTCTGCCAGAAAGCGGAAAAAACCTTTAGATGTAGAAAAGAAAGTTAAGGCTTGGGAGGACTTTTCTGCAAGACTTGAAACTGCCCACAGGCAGATTGCGTCTTCTGGAATGGTATTTTCCTTTGTAGAAGGTGTTTTTGTGACTGCACTTAGAAATGGTCAGTGGATTTTGCTTGATGAGGTGAACTTGGCGCCTCCTGAGATTTTGCAGAGAGTTATTGGTGTTCTTGAAGGGGAGAATGGGTCACTTTGTTTAGCTGAAAGAGGTGATGTCAGTAACATTAACAGGCATCCTAATTTTCGTGTATTTGCCTGCATGAATCCTGCAACTGATGCTGGGAAGAGGGATTTGCCTTATGCTTTACGGAGTAGATTTACAGAATACTTTGTTGATGATATATTGGATGACCAAGATTTGGACATATTTATTCAAAAATTTTTGGGTGACAGTGTATCAAGTAGTGAATTAGTAAAAAGAATTAGGTGTTTTTATAAAATAGCCAAGGAGGATTCTGATGAAAGGCTTCAAGATGGGGCTAATCAAAAGCCACAGTATAGTTTAAGGTCTCTGTACAGGGCTCTAGAATTTACAAGGAAAGCAGAAAGAAAATTTGGGTTTCAGCATGCAATTTATGATGGATTCTGTATGTTTTTTGTTAGTTTATTAGATGGGCCAAGTGCGAAGAAAATGAAGCAAAGGATTTTGCAGTATCTGCTAAGAGGAAATAAACCTTCTCATGTACCTTTTCATCGGTACTTAATGATTAAGGAAAACTCCAGCTCCGATGAATTCTTAAAGAACTATGTCCTGACTAAGAGTGTTAAGAAGCATCTTAGAAACTTGTCACGTGCTGTTTTTATAAAAAGATATCCTGTTCTTTTACAGGGTCCAACTTCTAGTGGGAAGACCAGCCTTGTCCAGTATCTTGCTACAGTCACTGGTCATGAATTTGTGAGGATAAATAATCATGAACACACTGATCTGCAGGAGTATTTAGGTACTTACATAACTGATGCCCATGGGAAGCTTGTATTTCAGGAGGGTGTGTTGGTCAAAGCTGTTCGAAATGGTTATTGGATTGTTTTAGATGAGCTAAATTTGGCTCCAACGGATGTCCTAGAGGCACTAAACCGATTGCTTGATGACAACAGGGAGCTCTTTGTGCCTGAACTGCGTGAAACAATTCCAGCACATCCAGATTTTATGCTTTTTGCTACTCAAAATCCGCCTACTTTCTATGGTGGACGTAAAATGCTTTCTCGAGCATTTCGCAACCGATTTGTGGAGATTCATGTTGATGAAATTCCAGAAGATGAGTTAAGCACAATTTTAAAGCAAAGGTGTCAGATACCCGAAAGCTATGCTAAGAAAATGGTTGAGGTTATGAAGGAGTTGCAGCTTCATCGCCAGACTAGCAAAGTTTTTGCTGGAAAACATGGATTTATAACTCCAAGGGACTTGTTTCGTTGGGCTGATCGCTTCAGAATTTCTGGGATATCTTATGAAGATTTGGCAAGAGATGGGTATCACCTTTTGGCTGAGAGGCTACGGGTTGAAGATGAGAAACATGTAGTTCAAGAAGTTTTGGAGAGACATCTCCGAGTCAAACTTGTCAAAGATGACTTATACAAGCCGGTGCGTTATCTACCAGATCTAAATGTTTGTATAATGCTTTATGTTATTTATTTGTTTATTTATTTATTTTGCATTGCTGTTTGTGTGCTCTTTGGTTCTGGTGGGTTTAGTATTTAAGGACTACATGATAATTGTGCATTTCATGTTGATTCATGATAGGTGCAGGTTTGCATTTTTATGTGCATCCTATCAAACATTTTGAGAGAGATTTGTTGTTTGTTAAATTCTGCAGATTTTGCATGCAGTTTTTGACTGTGTATGCTAAGTGCCTATTTTATTTAAAGAGCGCAAGCCTATAGGCAATGTGACTCTTTTTCTGTTTTTATATGCAGCTCCAGGAATGTCTTTTTGTTGATTTATGCTGGAATTTATTGATTCTCTTTCTTTCCAAACATCCAACGTGACTCATTTCAACTTGATCCAATAAATCCTGGTTGCTTAATGATAGTAATGCATTGGTAAAATGTAATATTATTTTGTGATGCATGTATTCTCTGGCTTTAATCACTAGATCTCAAGGATTAACAAGGTTAATACTTGCTAATTAAAGTATAAATGTTATCATACCTCATTAGGCATATTTCCAGCATCCCTGAGATATTTTTTATGGTTGTAGGCCTTTTATGTAGTCATTATCTCTGTTTCTATTGTTACCTCTATTGTCGTTTTATTTGCCGTAACTGGAAGTATATTGGCCAAAAAAAAAAAAAAGAAGAATACTGTTAAACTTTCTTACTCCATTTCTTTTAATATTCACATGTAGCTTAGAAGGAAACTGGATTGGGTTGATAATACTTCTATTTAGCATTTTAAAAGGTTCTAGAATCCAATACTCATTTTGCTGTCCTTTTTTTCTCCAGGAGTTGCTCGGAGAGGATCCTGTTCCAGAGAGTGTTGGAAAGTAAGGACTCATAAACCTATTTTATTTTATCTTGGTTTTGCTAATTTGTGTTAAATTTTACTCCTAATAATCTCATCCATTGCAGTGTGATCTTAACTAAAAGCATGAGAAGATTGTACTTCCTTGTCAGACGCTGCTATAAGTTTCGTGAACCGGTGCTCCTTGTTGGTGAAACAGGTGGTGGGAAGACTACAGTGTGCCAGTTACTGAGTATTGCTTTGGGGTTAAATTTACACATTTTGAATTGTCACCAGTACACTGAAACGTCCGATTTTCTTGGGGTTTGTTTGCTTTGTTCTCACCATCTGTTGTTACTTATCTGACAATTAAATCCCTCAGAACTTCTAATGAAATGTTTAACAGGGTTTTTATCCAATTCGAGATAGATCAAGGTTGTCCTCAGAATACAAACATGTGATTGAACGATTGAAGCTTTTGAAGGCCATTATTCACTTCCCTGAAAGCTTGGTTAGTATATTTTGGTTAAAATAGTCTATTGGTGTCTTAGCTTACTTGTATTTCCTGTAAGATAATGACTAGTGTCTCAAATATGTTTTGTTGCAGGATATTTCTCCAGATATCAGTCATGCTTCCTTAACTCTTGACCAGCTGAATGTAGTTATTACCAAGTACAAACAAGGCTGTCTTTCAATTCCTGATTTCACTTTGCAAGATATGGATGATTTAGATGAGGTGAAGCAGGAGCTTGATCTGCTTTACCGTAAGTGGCAGACAATTTTTACATGGCAAGATGGGCCTCTTGTGCAATCTATGAAGGCGGGTGACTTATTTCTTGTTGATGAAATTTCCTTGGCTGATGATAGCGTTCTGGAAAGGTTGAACAGTGTCTTGGAGCCAGAAAGGAAACTGGTAGGTAATTCTTGCTTGAGGATTTTGGTCTTCGCAGTTTATTTCAAGTTAGCTTGTTATAAAACATTAAAGTATATGATATTCTGATGCTGGTATACTTCTGCATGTCCTTCACAGTGCATTTCAAGTTAGCTTGTTAGAAAACATTAAACTATATGATGTTCTGATGCTGATATACTTCTGCATGTCAAAGTTCAGCCATTTTTCCAGCTGCTATTGCCATTTCATAGAATAGTTAGGCTGGGTATTTGTCAATATCGGAGTGTCTTTTATTCTTCCACCTGTTTTCTGGGAGCATCTTGTTCTTTAGTTGCTATTGCTTACCTTTTCCCCTGTGTTATATTTTGTGTGCAGTCGTTGGCTGAGAAAGGAGGAAATGTTCTAGAGAAAGTTACTGCTCATGAAAACTTTTTAGTTCTTGCAACAATGAATCCTGGTGGTGACTATGGTAAAAAGGAATTATCACCTGCTCTTCGTAATCGGTTTACTGAGATATGGGTTCCATCTGTTGGTGATTTGAGCGACCTTAGGAGTATTGCTTCGAATAGGTATGTCAGTTTTCTAGAAAAATGGTTGACTTAGCTTAATGAGTTTTTTTAATAATATTTATTTATATTGCAGACTATCCCGCCTTGAACTCTCTTGTATTATTAATCCTATGGTAAACTTCTACGAGGTATGCTCTGATGCAGTTCTCCATTTTTGGCTTTTGACTTTGCCTCTACATCACTATAAGATGAATTAGTTTTGCATAAGTATCTTTTCCTTTTTTTTTATAAAGCTCCTGGGAATTGTCTCCGTGAATAATTATAATACTAAAAATTCTCCTTTTTAATTAATTTTACACCTTCTCAACTTCCTATAGTATCTAACAATATACTTACCTATTTGTTAATCTTTTCTATGAGTTGGGGCTGGCTCACCACTCATCATGCATGTTATTCAGTTTTTCTAGTAGTTTCTTATCTTTTCTGTTAGACTACATTTTTTTAAGTTACTCTTTTTTCTTGTTCTTTTTATTTTTTTATTCTCTTCCTTTTTCCTCGTGAGACTGCCAGTGGATTGTGATTGTAGATTTTTCTGACCCATGAAATTGTTGTCTTTTTTGTTACCTTTTTTTTTCATTCTTTGAGTTTTTTAATCATCTTGGTTGGTGTTGGACCAAAAGATCATTTCAACGGTGTTTGATATGTGTTGAAACAATCTAATTTATTTCTTGTACCTTACAGTGGTTTAATCAATTGCAAATTGGGAGATTCCTCACTGTCAGAGATCTTCTGTCTTGGATTGCATTTGTTAATGTGTCTAAATTAGGACCAGAGCATGCGTTCCTTCATGGTGCCTTCCTTGTTCTGCTTGATGGTCTAAGTTTAGGTATACCCTTGCAGTACCATTATATATTGTAATTCCTGTAATACGGAATGTTTTATCGACACTAAAATATAACATATTACTTCTTTGGCTCCATATATTGTGGCTTCTTTCAATTACACACGTTTGGTTTGTAATTATCGGTGGAATGTTTTCTCATTTGATGATGCATTCATTACATTTTTCTTAGTTTTGGATTTCCTTCCCCTTTGTTATCACGGTTATTTTCCTCAAATTACCTGGTGCTTAAAGCTATCATGAACTCCATAGGGATTAGCTTTGCGTTGATTTTATTTTTGGGATGCCATCTTTTAATGCACTAGAAATACAGCTTCCAACCATTGTTTCTTTAGGGTCTTACAGTTAACATGGGTTTATCTTTTTTTTACACTCTTCCTCCTAACAAACTTTCAATAATTGGCAAAAGCGGTGAGAGCATTAAATTTTTAGGAATTTGCATAATTTATATATTAGGTATTCTACTAGAAATTAGAAGTAATCAACATGTGTTATATTAAAATTCAGATGGTTGCTTCCATGCAAACAAAACTATTCCCACAAGTAAATGGTAAGACTTGCTAAACATTAAAATTGTAGAGTGAAACATCATATTTGAACTTAAATACAGAAACACCTAGGTGATGGCTGTTGTATGTACGGATGGTATAGAAACATCATCTTTTAACTTTAAATATGGAAACACCTATATTGATAGCTGCTGTAGGTACAGATGGCATAGACATGTGTTGCACTACCTGAAACAGATTCGTGGAACATGATATAATATAATACTATTGATTTGGACAACTATAAAAAATTCTTTTTGTAGTTGGAACCGTGACTAGCATTAATGGTTTTGTAAGTCTTGCTTTTTTACAATTTGTTGATGATATATTTTCTCATATGTTACCAAGTATTCTTGTAATTATTTTTGGTCTCTCATTGCTCTTTATTTTTGTTTTTCAGGGACTGGTCTTTCTAAAAAGGATTGTGGAGAGTTAAGGGAAAGATGCTTGTCTTTTCTTTTAGAACTGCTACTGGTAATGTGGTCTTCATGTTTCTTGTTATTGTTGCCTGTAGTTAAAGGATTGTGCCAATGTTTGTGGGTTTGTGCGTTTATAGTTCACATGAACGACTAACCATGGCTGTGGCTTGGCATTGGCAAGTGGTCTTCATGTTTCTTGTTATTGTTGCTTGTAGGTAAAGGACTGTGCCAATATTTGTGGGTTTGTGAGTGTGCTTATAGTTCACATGAACAACTAACCATGGCTGTGGCTTGGCATTGGCACAACTTAGTTACTTTACCTTGGTATTAAAGTTCATTAGATGAACTGAAACTCAGGCATCTTTACTTGTTAACTCTTCTTTAATAGTTGATATTCGATTTTTGTATCATTTTGTCCTTTTGCTCGTTTCTTGGAGCTGTTAGTTTGAGTCATTGCAAGAGAAATAAGTTGGCATGTATTTCCTTGTAATAAATCATGTGTAATGAGTCAAATGACTGCAGGACAGTTTCAGGGAAGTCAAGTCTGCCTCCTAAGGTTTTATTGTGGGTTAGGGCTAGAAATTAGAGATTGAGGGGTTTATATCTATGGTAGGAAATGTTCTTTGATTGAGTTGAGATTTGATTCCAAGTGAAACTGCAAGTAGTGGGAAAGGGTGCTTGAATCAACAGAACTAGAATAAAGCTAGCCATTTGTGTGTTCCTTTGCTATGATGTATTTGGAAGTGCTCTCATGGCAAAGAGAGAAAATGTGTGCAAGATGAAGAAAAAGAGCAGAAATTATAAATCACAAATTCTGCAAGAATTGTCTATAACTCGGATCTTCATTAAAATTAAACTCTTCTCAACAAGAAGAGAAGAAATATTTTCCTCTAGTTATAATGGACAATACAAGCAAAGTTTAGTGGAAGCATTGCATCCATAATAGAAGTTGCGTCTGAATGGTACAGGAAAGTAGGGAATTGTGAAACATATGTTTGTTATTATTTTTTCTCACTTTTCCTGTCAAATTGAAGCCAATATCTTTTTCCCGTCAAATTTTAACATTTAGTAGGAACTACACATTCAATAATTTATGTTATGTTTCCCACCTTGCTTTTTGAGATGCATTGGTTGCTCAGAAGTGATTTCCTTTTTGGTTCTGCAGGTGGACAATACAAATTTGTTGTACCCTAAACTTTCAAAAATGGAGAATTATGGTTGGGGTGATCTTGAAACACCTACAGAGATGAACACTGATTGTATGCTATATGACAATATCTTTAGTATTGATCCCTTTTACATTGAAGAAGGTGATTATTTTATTCAATGTAAATAATGCAGTTTTTTTTTTTAATTTCAAATACAACAAAAGCATTTTACTTGTTATTTGTCATCGTAGAAGCTTTTATTTTATTGTGGAAGTTCTCTTTAGCAATTAGAACTGAGTCATAAGATCCTGTGGCAGTTTTAAATCTGCTTGTTTTTAGAGTCTGTTAAGTCAGGTTAGAAATAAAAAATTCTCTCCGATTGGAGATAAAACTTCGGTATACTAGACCAGAGTAGTCTAGTCAAGTTATGGTTTTATGAGGCTTCTTTTCCTCCGTGACTGGAGTTTGGAAGTCAACTATGTAAGAGCGTTGCAGTTGGATGCTGGAAAATGAGAAATCTTAAAATCATTTCTGAGATCTGCTTATTAAGCAATGTAACACAACTATTTAACTTTTTATCCTGTCTTATTCTAATATCAAGGGGCTTATGCAACTTGTTTGTGTATCTAGGTTCTGAAAAGATTGAGGCGGGTGGATTTGAGTTTTTGGCACCAACTACACGGAAAAATGCTTTACGAGTGTTGCGGGCCATGCAGCTTTCAAAGCCTGGTATGCCTCTATCAGCTGTTTGTTAGTTTGCATCCCTTGATATTTTCATACTTATCTGTTGAATTCTCCTATACTTTCCAGTTTTATTGGAAGGTAGTCCAGGTGTTGGGAAAACAAGTTTGATAGTTGCATTAGGAAAATTTTCAGGGCATAAAGTCGTGCGCATAAATTTATCTGAGCAGGTTGGTAACTTTCATTTTATTAAGTTTTGAATGTTTTCAGTTCTTACTCTTTACAGTCTAACCAAGTATATCTAACTGTTCATCTGCTGCAGACTGATATGATGGATTTGCTGGGGTCGGACTTGCCTCTTGAGAGCGATGAAGGGATGAAGTTTGCTTGGTCTGATGGAATTTTATTGCAGGTAATGTGTCTTTGACTTTTAAGGCTTTTCTATCTTTATTGGACATGGAAGTACCTAAGATTGCTTTGTTTATGTAGGCTTTAAAGGAGGGTTGTTGGGTTTTGCTGGATGAGCTTAATCTTGCTCCACAATCTGTCTTAGAGGTATGCTTACCACTTTGTTAATGAGCTAACTCTGGCATGTCCTTCAGGCAAAAGAAAGCGGTTAATTTTATGTTTCATGTTTATTAGGGTTTAAATGCAATCCTGGATCATCGAACTGAGGTCTTTATACCAGAACTGGATCGCACTTTTAGGTGCCCATCATCTTTTCGAGTTTTTGCTTGTCAGAATCCTTCTTATCAAGGTGGTGGCAGGAAAGGCCTACCAAAGTCTTTTCTTAATCGTTTCACTAAGGTTGATTTGATCTGCTACCACTATTCCAATAAATATATAGCATATGCCTGGTTGATTACTGATGAACTGACCATATAACATTCTGCCATTTCAGGTATATATTGATGAGTTAGTTGAGGATGACTATCTTTTCATCTGCAGCTCACTTTATCCGTCAATTCCATGTCCTTTACTTTCAAATCTGATCTCATTTAATAGACGGTTACATGAGGACACTATGTTGTATCACAAGTTTGCTCATAATGGATCGCCTTGGGAGTTTAATCTGCGTGATGTGCTTCGGTCATGCCAGATCCTACAAGGTGTAATATGTGTTATGTAATTTGTTTCAATAGTTGATTTTCAACTCGGAAGATGCTTACTGAGGGATTTTTTACTTCTTCTTTTTTTTTTTTTTTTAAATAAAGGCAGTTACTAAGTTCTATGTAAAATAATTTTAGGTACACCAGTTGGTAGCTTTGTCAATCTTATTTATGTTCAAAGAATGCGTACTGCAGCCGATCGCAGACAAGTTATGCAGCTATATGAACAGATTTTTGGGGTGAAGCCATCTATAAATCCTTACCCTAGAGTGCAGCTCAATGCTGATTATTTGATTGTTGGGAGTGTTGCTATTAAAAGAAATTTTTCTCGGCCATCGGGAAGTTTATGTCAGCTGAAACTTCTACCCAGTGTTCGTTGCAATTTGGAAGCTGCTGCACATTGTGTACAACAAGGATGGTTGTGCATTTTAGTTGGTCCACCATCATCTGGAAAAACTTCATTGATAAGGTTGCTGGCTTGGCTTACTGGTAACGTACTGCATGAATTAAATCTGTCATCAGCAACTGACATTTCTGAACTGCTTGGATGCTTTGAGCAATATAATGCTCTTCGCAATTTTCGCTCAGTTGTTGCTCAAGTTGGTCGTTTTGTTAATGAATATAGCAGTTTGTTATTGGAGACCTCAATGGAGACATTTTTAGGTGACAGAAAGGATTTAATTGCCAGATGGCTTGCTTTTTTATCTGATGTCAATTCTGACTTGATGCCAAGTTTTTCTTATATGTGCCCAGAGACTTGGAATGGCTTTTACAAATCTCTTTCTTCATTGATTGAAATCATCGAACAGCTGAAATCTGATTTGGAAAAAAATGTTTTGCCCATTTCTTGGGCAAGTGAGGATCTGGGGAGAACCATGAAGACTATATTGAAATTGCAAGATCACAAGAAAAGGCCATATTCTGTTAAGTTTGAATGGGTTACGGGATTATTGATAAAGGCTATAGAGAATGGAGAATGGATTGTTCTAGAGAATGCAAATCTTTGTAATCCCACGGTATGCGGATTTTTGTTGGTTGATCTTCTAAATCTTCTTGTAATATCTTTGTTACTGCCCTGTTCACTAGTTAATGGGTTTTCTAATTTTTTTTTTGTCAGGTTCTTGATAGAATCAACTCTTTGGTGGAACCAGATGGAACAATTACTGTCAATGAGTGTGGCATTGTTGATGGAAAACCTGTGGTTCTCCATCCACACTCTAATTTTCGAATGTTTCTCACTGTAAACCCAAGCTTTGGTGAAGTATCCCGAGCAATGCGAAACAGAGGTGTTGAAATATTCATGATGGACCCGTACTGGATTTTTGATGAAGGAAATGGATGCAATTCTGAGGAGTTTGAAATGAAAGATGTGAAGAGATTTCTTGTTCTTGCGGGCATTCCTGGTGTTAAGTTGGTTGACTCAATGGCCAAAGCACATGCATATGCTAGGGTTGAAGGTGTATGCCTTAATGTACGCATCACTTATCTTGAGCTTGCACGGTGGGTTCAGTTATTTCAGCACCTTCTTATGAATGGCAATCAACCAATGTGGAGTCTCCAAATAAGTTGGGAGCATGCCTATCTTTCATCTTTTGGCGAGGCTGAAGGGGTGAACATTGTGAATCATGCAAAGAATGTTTATTTGTCAGTTACTGAATTATATGCATCTGACTCTTCACAGGAGTCTGTTCTTTGTTTGCCTGGAGGATGGCCAATGCCATTAACTTTGATGGATCTTGCATGGTATTCGAAAGAGGCCTATGTCAAGCAGAATTGCTCATATCTGCAGTTCTTGGGAGCACAGTATGCATCACATAAACTTGCAATCAGCTCTAGTATCTGTCCTGTTGATGATGTGTTACATAGGTGTGGATGCAAGGGAACTTATTTATTGGACTGGAAGATGTTATACGAGACTCTCTATCCTCAAGTAACAAAAGGATTCACTTCAGACTCTGATGTCAAAACAGAATTTAACTTAAATATTGCTAATAAGATGATGTTTTTTGCTGCCAACTGGGCAATCGAACAGGCGACAGAAAATGATTTTCAGCTGTATCTCCAGTGGTTTAGCTGGTTCAGTTTTCATTTGGAACCGTATGGTCAGTTTTTCAAATCCTTTTTAACTTCACTTGAACAGGAAAGGAGGCATCCAATTTGGTCCCATATACTTCGCTGTCGTCAAGAGCTTATATCACTTAATCAATTAGATATAGACTTGCATCCAATCCCAATGCTTTCTCTGGAAGTAGTTGAATTAACTTCATCAAATCATATATTAAATGCATCAAGTAAACTCCTCCATGATGCTATTCACTGTGTGGGCCTACTCAGACTTAGTTATCTACAGTGGAATGCCGAAAGTAGGCATAAACACACAGATAAGTCACATTGTTTCATACCATTTCTGGAAACTCTTCGTGTTTTGGAGGAGGAAATCTTAAATATGCTTGTCGGGTCTCCCTCCTTTGATTTGTTATATCAGTTATACACCAATCTCCTTGAAGATCACATACTGTTTTGGGAAAGTCTTATCTTATGGCAGTTTGAACGCTTGCTGATCTCTTGGCGGTCTTTGTTGAAAGATTCTGAAAAGCTGAAAGAATTTTGTCCTATAGCAGTTAAGAATATTCTGGTGAGCTTACTGAACAATGTGTAGCCTGTCACTTTTTTTCTCATATTTATTACTGTCATTTTAGTCATAAATTTGCTGCTTTGTTAACTTTGATGTACTTGAGGGATAAATCTTGTTGACAAACTGCTGCATAGGTAACCAAGAATCTTGCTGAAGTTTCATCATTGAACTTCCATTCGGAGAGATCACTGCTATGGGTTCATGGCGGTCATCCTTTTCTGCCCCCATCTTCCAAATTGTATCATCAACAGCGGCAGCTTTTACAGTTTTGTAAGTTAGTTTGGCCAACAAAGGGAAAATTATGCAATCAAGGTATGGTTCCTATGCTGGTATCTTTGTGGGAAGTCTTTTTCCTGCTTTACCATGACGGGTTTTTAATTTTTTGAACTAATCAGATATAGCTGTGAATGAGCTTCCCATTGAGATTGTGGCATCTTTTGATTCTGAACTTCGCTTCCTTGCATTGGAAGGTAGAGCTGGAAAGCTTTTCACTCATCTAAATTTATTTGTTTTCTATCTTTCTAATCTTTCTATTGTGTTGCATGTTGCATTGTGATAGATTTTGGATTGTGTAACATTGCTAATGATGTACCTGCTAACATCATGCTGTTCTTATTAACTACAAGAAGTTTAGTACAGTTAAATAGTATTTTTATGCAGCCTTTAAGACCTAAACATTTTTCTTTGTTATGTTATTTCAAATTTAGCAACTTAGGATTTTTATACTATTAATGTTGGATATTTTACAGCATTATAGTATTGCAACTCCATGATCTTAGGGTTTAGCTCTGCTATTTTTTTTTTTTTTTTGGAGTCGAACTTCATTATTACTTGTTTAAGGGTGACTTTAAGACTCTGGTTAATGAGATGAAGAAAATGTTGACCATTGCTAATCAATTGAAATAAACCCTAACTGATTGCCAAAGCTTAACCCAAAATTCTAACACATCCATAAACCCTTAATTCTTAAATTATCTTGTTGTAGTGCACCACAAGCCCTGCATAGGCGTATATATCTCACTTTCTTTTTTTTGTCTTCTTTGTTTAGGCATTTGCATGTCATCATTTATTATGAGTAAATGCGATGAAGATGAAATGCATGTTTCTCATCAAATGGAGGAGGTGTATCAGGTTTTGTTCATATTTTATTTTTATTTGTTTACTTTTTTTTGAACAGTCAGGCCAAAAAAAAAACTTTATAGTAAAGATTTATTGGCACTGTTAGCTCACACATGTTGGGATGAACTTGTATCCAGATGCTTTTGAAAAGGTTTGACTATGAGAAACGCAAATTGTCAAGCAAAAATGGGCCTGATGGTGCTATTTATGAGGCAAACTCAGTTGCTTGTTGTGTTCTTAGTTCTGATTTGTTGCGCACAAGGTCTGGCTTTGACAATTGGCTGGATATAGTTCCAATCGTTGACTGTGCTAGTTGCTTCCTGGATATGGAGCTACTTCAAGAGCTGTCATTGCTCACTTTGGCTGATAGTGGAGAACTACAGCTAGTAAGTGAACAACTTTTTGCTTCATACTATATTCTTTTCTTGATGAATACTAAAAAATTTTTTGCTTTATTAGTTTTTTAAAGAGCATAAAGTTTAAAACCTAACTTCTGATCTCCCTTTAATGGCAGGGTTTGGTTGGTCTATCTAACCTTTTGGAATCTGACTTGAAATATTCACTTACTTATTCAACAAGGCCTCCACAATCTTTTGTACCACATCAAAAACTTTTATGGTTACTTGATGCATGGACATCAGTGGATGCAGGTCAGTTAATTCTATCCATATCTTTGCCTGTGTTTCTTATCTGGAAGCTTAATGTTCTTTATCCTTTATGTTATAGTGCATTCAAAAGTTTCTAGTTTTGTTCATGAGATGTGGTTTTGGTGGCATTCATTATTGTGGAGCCAGCGCTCTGCTTCTATCAAGGTATGTCAATAAAAAAGCCCTGCACGTTATTTCCAGGACATGTTGCTTATTTCACGATTTGCTTCTTTCCATTTCAGAATTTCTCAATAATTGATGGTTATGATGTTCCACTACCAAATGCACTTATTCAGCCTGTGAGAACAGATAGTGTTGCCAAGATATTGTAAGATAATCATTTTCACTTTTAACATGTTTAGAGTCTTTATAATATGGATAGGGCAGATTGTATTCTGTCGTAGAGATTTCATTCCACTTTCAACTTTGTGTTGTAAAGTGTAAACATTGGATGGAGACTTCTCTCTTCTCTTTACCCTTTGATTTCATTCTTTCCATATTTGTAATTTCCATTGCTTATGATTTGAGGCTAGGTTGTGTGATTAGATGTTTTTAACTGATTATGGTAACATGTGTAGCAAAACTGTCCTTTTTTGACTAATGCTGACAAGTAGCATTCTATTTACATTAAAATACTGTCATTTTACATTGCATAAGTTTAGAATCAAAATTAATCTTGAAAATTGGTTGATGATGACTTTCATTCTTACCTTTTCCCCCTCTAACTTAATTTAGGCAAAGTACACATGATATCAAGGATTTTTCCTTGCACTGTTTGAAGCTTAAGGTTGCTTCATGTGTTCTCTGGCAAATTTCTTCCCCAAGGACAAATACACATGGTTTTCTTTTTTCTACCGCCCGCTCTCTTTTCCAACAGGTAGCTCATTTATGTGAATTTTTACTTTTTTTTTTCTCAGCAAGAATGCTTAAATCTTAATGTCTTAATGTTCCAGATAATATATTCACATAAAAAATCTTTTGATGCTGAGAAGTTTTCTGCCATCAAGTCTATTCTTTGTTCCTCTCTGAACAGTCTAACGGTATGATTTTTCTCCGTGCAATTTGTGTTAAGTGCTACTGTTTCTGTTTTCTGTTTTCCTGCTATTTAAGGATTCTTTCTGTTCAATGAAAACTATGCATTTGCAATTTGATATGAGCTACTTGCTTGCTGTGTTGAAACTTTTTAATTCTGTGACAGATTTTCACTTTTCTACTTAGGCACTTCCTATTCCTTAAATATATCATTTTTTTTTCATTTCTGAGTACTGCATCTTCTTTTACTGACAGGAAGAAAGTATAGGGCTTGTGAGCTTGCTTATTGGATCATCAAGTCATCAAAGTTTGAAATCGATGATCCGTTTGCTCATTGAACCACTGCTCAGGCAACTATATCTTAATTGCTCATCTACTGGTGACTATTTCAATGTTGTCTTCTAAGTTCAGTTCTTTCTGAAAATAGTCATTTGGATTAACTCTGATATCCTTTTTTGTAGAGTCATACTCGGATCTTGGTATTGCTTGGTTACGTATTGGAGTATTACGTTTCCATCTCTTACTTAGCTCTGATAGTCTGGATCCTGCCAGCAAATTTTCTTGCAAATTATCCCATTTAGAAGAAAAGATAATTTCTTATAAACTTGAGATGAAGGTAAGGATCTAGTTTTGCTTGTTGATTTATCTTTGAAAGGTTATGTGCTATTTAGTTCCTGTTTGTTCATCAAATTCTCAGTTGTGACAAACCTTGCAATGATGTGGGTTGACAATAACATGTGTAATTATGGACAACAGTTTCCAGAAAAGGATATTTATGTTTAAATGCCTACACAAGTCTATTATACAGTTTAGGCATTCATAAAAAAAATGAAATAATTATTCATACCATCATTCTTCCGAGTTAAATGTCTACCCTTTCATTTAGGGATGTCCCAAAAGGCTAAAACCGTTAGTCTTTTCTTTTATGAACACCTAAAACTCTTAATTTTTGATATTCCATGTCATTTTTTTTATTTATTATCTCTTTTTATTGTAAACTTGTAGCATTAGAAACTTTTAAACATCAATGTTATTAAAACATTTTAAAATTTGAAAAAAATAAATAAATGAATTTTTTCCTTAAACCACATGCCACGTAAAATGAGGTCTATTGGAGATGGGTGAGTTCTGAAAGTTGTTTGTCTGAGGCTTGAGGTAACTCTTTTTGCCCGTTTATAGGTGCGGCAAGAATGTAATTATTTGAAAGGATGGTCTTCTTCAAAGGAAACCGGTAAAAGGATATCACAAGCAATAGAAAAACTTGAAATTGATCGAAGAAAACTGCTAAGGAAGGTCTGAAAACTTTTGCATTAGTTCTCTTCTTGAACCTTTTTTTTTTTTTTTGTTCTTTTCCATTTATTTATTTGTGAAGTTTTTTTTTTCATTCAGATTGTCTTCCGCCCTGATCCTGCAAAATTCAAAGCACTGAGAAAAGAATGTGATGAGTTTCTTGTACTTGTTAATTCTTCAATGAGTTTGGTCAATAATATTGAAGGCATGAAGTTACAACAGGTTGTTGACAACGTGTGCAACTGGCAGGTAGATTTTCTTATACATGCTTTGATATAATCCCCATTGAGTGGAGTAAGGTTACTTGGCTATGCTTATCATACTATTATCTGATTGATTTTCTCAGGAGACAGCCAGCTGCTTCATTGACCGTTTGTCAAATCAATATTCTGAGTACATTGATGTAGCCCAGCCAATTCAAGTGGCTGTATATGAAATGAAGTTGGGCTTATCACTAGTTTTGTTGAGTGCCTTGCAGAAAAATTTTCTTGACAGAATCCAGGAGGACAATATCGATAGAGTTATGGTGATGTCTCCGTGTATTTATTCTTTGTTATTGAAGTTCTACGTCTGTAGATTTTTCTTTTAGCTTCCTCGGCTGACTTGAAGTTCCTTGCAGGAGTTGATTTACTCATTTATGAGATTCCCTAGGGGCTGCACATCTGAATTGGTTTCTATCAGTGACAGGAGGCTGCTCATGTTTTCTTCCCTTGACATGCCTTCTTTTACAAAATTCTCTGAAAGGGAATTGAGCTTACTGGAAAAGATGGTTACTATTTCCAGTGATGTCAACTCTGAAAACGTACTTTTGCTTCCTGTTTTTCCACCTTTTAATTTTGTTGTTCCATTGTTAATTTTGCATTGTTCTTGATGTGGTTTTACCTTTGAAATAGGTATCTGTTTTCCAACTGAAAGCTGCCCTTTATAACAATGTCCTTGTTCGTGTTGCACATTCGGTGGCTACTGCAAAATTGGTGGATAATGTGTCTTTTAAGGTAAGTCCTCTGGTTGATCAAGTGCACCTGTACATTATGTTGGTCTGATGCTTCATTGTGTACTTTTCAATCAGCTATTGGACAAAATTTTCTCTGGATTTGCAAGCATTTGGATGCATATGAAAATTCAAGGGAAGAATCAAGAAAACCTTGATGGTCAATCTTATAAGTTCAGGCCTCGTGCATTTAGGATTGAGAATGTAATGGAAGTAGATATATCAGCTCTTGGCAAGTTGCTTGCGAATGACAACTTCATTGAATGGCAAGAATTGCTGTCTGATGAAGAATCCACTGAAATGGTGATGCATCTATGCTGCTATGTTCCATCTATTTGTTTTATTTTTTCATTTTATCTTTTAATATGTGACTTGGCTGTTATTAATTCAGATAGAAGATGAAGAGAAACATGAAAAATTACAGGACGAATGGAACCTGATGGAAGAATCTATTTTGATCAGCATGATCAATATGCACAATCAATTGTTTGGGTCCAGTGATCTTGTAGTTACTGTAAGTTGTCCTTGAGAGTGTCCTGAAATACATTAACAAAATGTCTGAACTGGCTTTTTTTCTTTTTTTTTTTTTCATATTGAATGTTGCAAAGCACAATCACTTTTAAAATTGATGGTAAAAATGCGTTAAAATTTTTTAATTAGAAGTTTTTTTTCCCCATAATCTATTACTTATATATGCTTTGTGTTTCTCTTTTAAAACTTTGAATCTATGCTCTGGATTTTCTTCTAGTTGTAGTTCCATTTTGTTTTATTCACTATTAGAGTGATGTTCATAGAGATTTATTCCCTGTTCTCCATGTTAATTTGTTTTGGCTTTTAAGTTTTCTCCTATGAACTTTATGCCGTGTGCCTTTGTTTTCTTCTGTTCAGCCTGGATCTTTCCAAATCACTGATGTGGACAGATTGCATTCCTTCATTGGCTCTTACACTTTGGGTGTTGGAATGATCAAAGGTGTTTAAAATTGTGGTTTACAGTAAATATTGGGTATTTTCTTCTCTGGAGAAATACAAGCCTGGTCTTTTTTTTCTTTTACTTGCAGGTTTAGGAGGTGTATTTTCTCCCACCTTGGATGCCAAACTTGTGCAGGAGCATCTACTTCAACTAAGTTGGGAGTATGAGCTGAAGTTTCCTTCGTCTCACAAATCAGCTTGCAAATACAATTTTTACAAGGTTTTACAAATTATTGCGTCTTATTGATATGACATTAGTTTTTTTATTCTTATTTTCATCTTAAAGCATTTCAGCTGTATTTACTTTATTCTTTTCTTTCCTAGGATTCAAATACTCATATAATGGCCAAAATGGTGGAGTTACTCACCAATCTTAAGCAGCGAGTTCTCACCCTTTTGAGTGAATGTGAAGATCACCCTGGTCTCCAAAAAGTCTTGGATGTGATTGAAATGCTTTTGGCTATTCCTCTGAGCACTCCTCTAGCTAAGGTAAGAGAAATATTCGGTTCTTGCTGCTTATTGAGCTATTTGTGATGGTTATTTATTTTTGGGATAATGGTTAAGCTGGTTGTACCTGTCTGATGATCAAAAGAAAGTAAATTTTACTTCCACCCCCCTAAAATTTGAGGAATAAAATACCTAAAAAATGTTTTGGCTTTCATGTTATCTTGGGTTGACCCCGCCCCTGCAGTCCTAGTTTTTTTTCTTCACTTTAAGTGAGAATGAAAAATATTGACGTTCAAAATAATCTATTTAAGTCAAAACTTTGTATCACTCTCTATATTAGTCACTTTGCTCACTTGGAATGACTTTGATGGAGGATTGAAATATGCTAGTTGTGGGATTAAGTTATATTGAATCTTTACATATATTTAGGCTATTTTAGATTGTTTCGGTTATTTTATGCCAATTAGTATCTTTCTTTTCCAAGAATTAGGGTTTTAGGGTTAGATTGGTATTTGGTGAGTTTAGGGTTTAGCTTATAAATATCTATGTTATTGAGTTTTGATTAGGTTTTGGATGATAAATATTTGAGATTTTGATATGTTGATTATTGAGATTTTCTCCCTATATTGATTCTTTCTGGTCTTCTCCCCTAGTTCTTTTGTTTCTCTCCTGATTTCCTCCGTTACTCCCTATTTGTTTCTGGCTATTTCTGATTTTCCTCTAAGTTTCTATTTTCTATCTCTTTTCTCTACTTATTGTAATTTACGCATGGATGGTTGAATTAGTCTATGATTCATTAATTGAGTTTGATCTTGGCTTAAAGAGGCTTGTAAAAAATCTTTTTTAAACACATATTTCTGAACGAGTTTTCCATTGCATGCTTTGTGTTATTTATCACAAAAATAAGGTGTGTGGGGGATGGTGGTTAGTGATGGAAATGACATTTTATGGTTGCAGTGTATATGAATGTGATACACATGTTGTTCAGAGACTAGTATCTCCATTTGAGAACTGAATTCTATCTTGTTGCTTGTGAAGGCTCTCTCAGGATTGCAATTTCTACTTAACAGGACCTGGATGATACAGGAAAATGGCTCAAAATTTTCGCTCTCTGGTATGTATTTTACACCGGACAAGTCTTGGGAATTCTTTGTTGTCCTTCTAACAACATGTTTATTCGTTCCTCCCCCCCCCCCCCCAACTTTGTAATTGTAGATAAACTCGAACCCCTTATTTCTCTGGTGTGCTCATGGCAAAAAATGGAGTTCGACTCTTGGCCTGTGTTGCTTGATGAGGTTCAGGATCAGTATGATGTAAATGCTGCCAAGGTATAAAGTAGTTTTTTCTGTATGTGTGGACTATAAGTAAAGTTAATTTGAAGATGCATAAGCATAAACTAGTAGATATAACACACCCCCAATCCCCCTCCACCCCTCCCCCCCCAAAAAAAAAAAGAAAAAATTGAGAAACTACCATTGAATGAATTTTTCCATGGTAGTCCTGGATGCTCTCACCATTCCTATGCGGGAAATAGAGGCTGAATGATTCCTTTACTTTAGTATATAGTCTGATCTACATACCTTGTTTAAGCTCAGAAGTTTTGAAGGATATTAGTTCTTTAATGCTTTTTTGGAATGAATACTAACTGACCATTTGTAACTGCTTCAGAAGTTGTTTTGTCCTTCTGCTGAACCTATTTTTTACAACATAATTTTCGCATAGATGCCTGAGTTTAAGGCCGCATATGGTATTTAGGCTCCCAACATTGCTTGGATTTTCTCGTCTTCCGATTGATATTCTTAATTCTTTTCATTTTCATTGAATATCTGTTTGTGACTATTTGCATTGCAGTTATGGTTTTCACTCTTCTCAGTTCTTCATCCAATGCATTCTTCTGATATTGCTGGACATGATCAGTCTACAATTGCAAGGCATGTTCTGACTTTTATTTACTTCTATATTTGTGTTTGCAAGAGCTCTTGTCTAATGCAAATAGAATTTGCAGTTTGGAGGAGTTTATTCAAACATCAAGCATTGGTGAATTCAGGAAACGCCTTCAACTTCTTTTTGCTTTCCTGGGACAAATAATTAGTGGTCAAAGTCTTGAAATTTATACAAGGTCAGTTATACTGTAGACTGACACCTTTAATCTTTTTCTTCTTCTCTTTTGCCATTTGTTTGGATATTTCTCAAATTATTTATTATTAACAACATTTTCTGGAGAAAGCTGAACCTTGTTTACATTGGATGCTACATATAACATCATTGTTTTTTGCTTTTTTAATGACGTATTCATCATAATTAGACCTCTATGATATGTTATCTTTGGAAGCATTCTGATTTAAAACTTTAATGCAGTCCTTGGCAGGAAGAAAATATTAAAATTTTGTACAACATATTTGGATTCTACATACAATTTTTGCCAATGTGAGTTGCCCATCTGTTACTCTCCTGAATATCTAAACCCTGGTTCAAGAATGTTTATATTTATTTGGTTGCTCATTATGTTTTTACCTTCCTCAGTGTAATGGAGTTGATAGAAACGAATAGAACAAAAATAGAGACTGAATTGAAAGAACTTCTGAAGCTTTGTCGTTGGGATCATTTTGAGAGTCAATTGTCAATTGACAACTTGAGAAAGCCTCGGCAGAAGATCCGGAAACTAATACAGAAGTACAGTGTAAGTGCATCCCCTGGCAGTTATAGAGGCTTTAATTTCAGTGTCCTTGGTCAAGGCTTAAATAACTATTTTTGGAGACAAACATTATCAGTTTCTTTTAATTTGTTGGACAGGATATGTTGCAGCAACCTTTTGTGTTTATTCTTAATGAAGAGGTGGGACAGAAAGGATTAAAAATTGTTTCAGTGGAAAGTCCAAAGCCACTCAATGATATCTCTGAAAGCATTAGGATGCTAAATGCTGTTTTAAATCTGACACAGTTCAATGATGAATACAGGTTAAGTTGTTTGTACAGTTTTTAGTTTTGGCTTTCTGTATTCATCTATTCTTCATCAAAAAAACTTTCTTATCTTTGAGATGCTTTCTTTGGTCTAGGTCTCTGTGGTATACCAACTGGGGGAAGAAAGTGAATGACACTCTTCAAAATTTGCACCTTGAAAGGATATCTGAATTACATTTTGTTAATTCTGAAGGTTTTCTACTTTTTGCTCATGCTCCTTTCCTTTAAAATTCCTTTCAAAAGACAATATTTAGAGGCTTTTAAAAAAATGATATTTGAAGTACAGAACTGTTGTCAGACAAAAGCCTTAAGAATTTAAAATTTTCGTAGACATTGCAGGTGTCATCAGGCAGTTCCCCTTCTCCCAGTTTATGTGCTTATCACACCAGGATGAGTGGAAGGATTTGTGGCACAAACTTGAAGAAATAGGTAGAATGACTATGGATTGTGGTGATCTTTGGATGGATGTTAACAGAAGTCAAAGGAAGAAGAGGGTGTTGTCTGAGCTTCTAAAGCTGTTAGAAAGCAGTGGGTTACATAGACATAAGTTTGAAATTATGGAGGTAATGGCAGATTGCACTTTTTGTTGTTTTTGTGGATTGCTGTTTAAATTTTATCATAATCCTTATTGGCTGTACTTGCATTTGGTAGATATCCAATCCTTCAAGTTGGTTATTCCTTCAGCCGTCGTATGATGCAAAGCATTTGTTAATGGAACGAACTAGACTGCCAAATGGAGTTGCTGATGTTTCTTCTCATGTGGAAAAATGTTTGCCGAGGGAAACTTTAGATGCTGAATGGAAAACAGCCAATGAATTTTACTTCAAAAGCTTGGCTGCAGTGCAGCTTCTTCAACAGATTCGCCTGAAACATCATCGGGATTTTACATCTGAGCAGGTAGAATTTGTGGCTATAGATAGAACTTGATAATTTGATTATTAACCAAGTTCTTAGCATTCTGGCAAAAAAAAAAAAAAAAACAAGTTCTTGGGATGGTTATTTATATTTGTTTGCTTACGAAGATTAATGATATTTATATTTGTTTGGTTACTACATTTACATGAAGGTTAAAGTCTTGGGTAATGTTGGCAAATGGGATTGAAAAAATCATATGATACATTTTTCTTTGCTTTAATTTATGCAGGTTAGCCAGTCGGTCTCTTATCTTAGCCATCTCATAATTATACAACAGATGCAAAGAGCAGCTGTCTATGATTTTTCTAGACAATTAAAGAGTTTGCGTAAATATACCATAGCTCTGGAAAGTTCATTTTCTGGTTCCACTGATGCTGAAAAACCAAATGCTGGGTGTGTTTTTGCGAAAAGTCAACATGCCACCTTTAACTGCATGTGGCAACAGAAGGTAATACATAATCTTTTAATCTTTGTTTTTGCTTCTTCTATTTTCTTTGAAGCTTCTGCTAAGTCATGTGGTTGGTAATATTGCAGCAACTGTTTGATAATCTGGATGCTATGTTGGTTGAAGAATCTCTGTTGCTCAGAACTGTAGCAAGCACCCATTTGAACTCTTGTCAAAAAGTCAGAGCTGCAGCAAATAGGATCCTTGGTTTCACTGAAGAATTTATTCCAGTTTTAAAGAAATCTAAGGTGCAAAAATGTTCTTAACAATATTGACCTTTGCGTGAGAGTGTTCTAGTCTAATTGAAATTTTGTCACAGGAGTCATTGGACAGCTATCTTATTGGTTGTGATGGATCCATAACCACATTAGCTGGTCCCATCCACCCTTATGTGATTTCGGAACAGATGGAAAAGTTGGTGCTTCATAATTTCCAAGTTCTTCGGGAGTATGAGGAGCAGCTTGCTGTTTTTATTGAGCAAGGTTTTGAGAAAAGTTCAATTGTAGAGTCTGTGCTCAATCACTTTGATGAAAGATTCAGCAAGGTATCTTCTGTTTCCGAAAATATTCATTGGTCCTCTGTTATGAGTTGTGGTACATTTGACTTCAAAAATCCATTGGCCAATGTATCTTTATCTCAAAAAAGTCAAATGCAGTGTGTGCATGGTTAGTGTGTTTAGAGATTGGTCGATCTATCTTTATCTCAAAATAGTCAAATGCATTGTGCATGGTTAGTGTATTTAGAGGGAGCTTTAGTCATCAAGGTGTTCTTTTTGCAGGGGAAATTGATTGCAAAACAGTACAGTTTAGCCTTGGAGATGGAAAACGAAGCCAAAAATCTTCATGAGCTAGCTGATCCTTGTTGTCAAAAGCGTCCTGAACTTGAAGCTCAGTTTGGTGACGCCTTCAAAAGAACAATCATACATGTTATGGATGTGTTGCAAAAGTTAGGCTCGTTAGGCAATCATTCTTCACAACCTGAAGTGCCATCAGGGAGTATAACTGCATGGGAGTCCCTTTTTAAATCTGTAAATTTGGGAGTGGATGAACTATGTGATAAGCTTCTTGAAACAATTCAGTTTGCAGTAAGTTCTTTAATATTTCTGTTTTTTTTCTAAAGGTTTCCAAGAAGATATCGTTATTTATTTTTATTTGCCTCCTGATTTAGTTCTGTTGGTCGCAGGAGAATCTGATAAATCATTCTGGCACGAAGATTTCCGGTCTATCTTTACATTTTGGAGCACTCTTGAAGTATATACATGCATTGGTGGACCTAATATTGAGCTTTAGCGATAGTTTCCTTGAAGACTTCTTAATTATGCATAAAACAGTAAGTTGGTCCATTTTGAATTGTTACAATTTAATTTTTCTTGCTTTATTCTGTCTTCCCGCATTGAAATGATGCATAACTTGTATGTTTAATAGAACGTTTGGGCTCATGGAAATTAGCTATTTCCTTGGAGGTGTTCCAATGAGGTGTAGGAAATTGGACTGATGATACTAGGTGGAAAATGTAGATTTACCTTTTCTACAAAAAGGCTTCTTATATCTTTATTTATCAAATTTAATGCATTATTACAGATTAGAAAATTGGCAACAGTTTCCCCTTGCTGGCTATTTCAAAGACTTGATATTTGTATTTGTGTGCAGGTGTCTGTAGTTACTCATGGACTTGCAAATATTTTAGCTGAGTTGTATGCCAAAGGATTTGGTGTTTCACCCAGAGATCAGGAAGATGATACCAGTCATGATATGACTAGAGATGCTAGTGGAACAGGTATGGGAGAAGGTGCAGGGGTAAATGATGTCAGTGACCAGATAAATGATGAAGATCAACTGCTTGGGGCATCTGAAAAGGTATGGTTGTTTGTTAAATTGGATTGCTGGTGTACTTATCTACTCCTAAAATGTAATATTGAGAAACCATATTGAATTTTCACTATATGCTACCACAGCCAAGTGAAGAGCAAGCTGCCTCAAATGATGTTTCTAGTAAGAATGAAAAAGGAATTGAAATGGAGCAGGATTTTTCTGCTGATGCATTTAGTGTCAGTGAGGACTCAGGAGAGGATAATGGTGAAGATACTGAAGATCAGCAATTGGACTCTGCTATGGGAGAAACTGGAGAAAACAATGAAGTGGTTGATGAGAAGCTTCAGGACAAGGATGATGATGACAATCCAAATAACAACGAAAGGTATGAATCTGGGCCATCAGTTCGGGATAGTGACACAAGCAGTAGGGAGTTTAGAGGCAAGGAAGATTCTGCTGGTACTGCTGATGAACATGAAGAAAATGAAACGCATGAACTTGACAAGGAAACTAGTGAGACTGAAAACCAGGTTGATCTTGATGAGAATGAGAACATTGAAGACCTTAACTTGAACAAAGAAGAGGCATTTGCTGATCCAACTGGATTGAAACTTGATGAATTAAATCAAAGTTCTAGTGAAGATTTTAACATGGATGAAAGAGAGGAAACGGATGTCATGGAAGAAAATGGTGCAGATGAGGAAGCAGAATCTGCTAAAGATGAGACTAATGAAGGTAACTCAAATCCTGTTGATGAAGCTATGGAAGAGACGGGGAGTGAAAGAAATGATGGAACCTCTGAAAAGGATGAAAAGGTGGATGCAACTTCTGAGAAGGATGATATTGGGAGAGATCACAAGGAGGATCCTGAGATAAACCAAATGGCAGCTAGGAAAAATGTTTCTGAATCCGAAATTTCTGATGTCAATGGTGATCATATTCCTAATGCGGGAGCTGCAACACAACCAAACAGTGAGGTATTGGAGGTGAGAAATGTTGCACCTGAAACAAGTTGGGCAAATAGCAGTGACATTTACAATGACCTTGCTCAGAGAAATTTTCCGTCCAGTAACAATTCTGACTTGAATATCATGGTTGCCGACTCATCATATAGTGGGAAGCTTGCTGATGATCATCCAAAACCAGAGTTTCCTCGCCCAGATGCTACTCCATTTGAGAAAAAACAATCAAACCCTTACAGAAATGTTGCGGATGCACTTCAGGAGTGGAAGGAAAGAGTCAGCGTCTCTGTTGATCTTCAGGATGATAACAAGGACTCACATGGAGAAATTGAGGATGAGAATACTAATGAGTATGGTTATGTCTCTGAGGTTGAAAAAGGAACGGCCCAGGCGCTGGGACCTGCTACGGCTGAGCAGATTGATACTGGTGTCAATTTCAATAAGCCTGATGAAAATACTCCTGTGGGAATGGAAGACGATGTCACTAATATGGAAATAGATGAGCAAAATTCTGAAGAGCATCCTATTAAGCACTTTTTCTCTGTTAAAAATAATACGGAGGAGAAGATTCATGCTTCTGAGTTAGAGGTGCCAGCTAATCATCAATCCCCTGGAGACCATTGTCATGATGATGGTGATCCAGGAAACTCTTTGGAATGCTTGATCTCTGTAAAGAAATCTTACTTGAGTGAGGATGTATGTCGACTCAACAGACTTTCTATAAGTGAAGAGGAAATCGGACAAGCCCTAGACTGTGAGGAAATTTCAGGTGATGTCAAAAATAATGCAACGGCTCTTTGGAGAAGATATGAGCTGCTTACAACAAGATTATCCCAGGAGTTGGCTGAACAACTACGTCTTGTTATGGAACCCACTCTTGCAAGCAAACTCCAAGGGGATTATAAGACTGGCAAAAGGATTAACATGAAGAAGGTAGAGCATATATTTTATATGGGGTGTAAACCAACTATATATTTGTTATTTGTTTTGGAAAATCTTCTTTTTCTCTCAACTCATTTACGTGCTTGGAAATTATAGGTCATTCCATACATAGCAAGTCATTACCAAAAAGATAAAATCTGGCTAAGGCGGACCAAACCAAACAAGCGAGATTACCAAGTTATTATTGCTGTTGATGACTCAAATAGTATGTCAGAAAGTGGTTGTGGTGAGGTTGCAATCAAAGCTTTGGTGACTGTGTGTCGTGCCATGTCTCAATTGGAAGTTGGAAGCTTGGCTGTTGCCAGCTTCGGGAAGAAAGGAAACATAAAGTTGTTGCATGACTTTGATCAGCCCTTTACTGGTGAATCAGGGGTTAAGGTTAGTGCTTCTTGCAGGAGAATGAGAACATCTATTTTGTTTGCCTTATTACTTTGTCTTCCATTTAGGCTATATGTTTGTCTAATCTCTCAATCTCTAAAACCTCTGAGATTGTGATTTTTTATAATCTTTTATCCTGCAAAATTGTATTCATCTGTGAAATGAATCATTTTCTTTCGCTAATATTTCTCTGGTACAGATGATTTCTAGTTTGACATTCAGACAAGAGAATACCATCACAGATGAGCCGGTTGTTGAACTGTTGATGTTTTTAAATAAGAAGCTGGATGCTGCAGTTGCGAATGCACGACTTCCTTCTGGACAAAACCCGCTACAGCAACTTGTTTTAATAATTGGGGATGGTCGGTTACATGAGAAGGTACCTCCTTATTTTGCTGAAAGGAAAATCAAGAAAGGGGGATTCCATACTGATATATATATATATATATATATATATATTTTGTGTCCAATATGTGCTGAGTAAAATGCTTATGTTTGCAGGAGAACTTGAAGCGGTGTGTTCGGGATGTCTTAAGTAGTAAAAGAATGGTTGCTTTCCTGATTCTTGATAGCCTGCAAGAATCAATCATGGATCTTCAGGTACGTTTGAGGCTTGCAATCTTGGGCTGAGAAAATTAAATTTCCTCTATTGCCGTGGATTGATTTGTGATGCCATGTTTGTTTGGCCTACAGGAAGTAATTCCTAGTCAGGACAAGAACAATCAATTTAAGATCTCGGTTTCCAAGTATCTAGATTCTTTTCCCTTCCCATACTACGTTGTGTTAAGGAATATCGAAGCTCTTCCCAGGACCCTAGCAGATTTATTGAGACAGGTAACTTAACTCTAGGCGATTATTTTGTATGGATACTGAATTTATTTATTTGATTAGCTTGAGTGAAGTTTGGGTTTCTCTTGCTGGTGGCAGTGGTTTGAGCTTATGCAGAATTCAACAGACTAGACATTGTTGGATGGAGACGTGGAGAGGTCAATGAATTGTGTGGCTCTTTTAGGAGATGGGGATAAGGATCTGCCTTAAACCTTAAATGACTTAAGCTTGGTCCTCACAAAAGCCTTGAATTGTGTAGCTCCAGTGGAAGGTGAAGTCGGCCAATCTACTTTACCACCGAAGTTATTTTATTTTCTCACAACGTATTTTTGTTGTTAGTTAAGTTTATTATTTTTTAATCAAATTAAAAAAATTATAATAAAATCACACTCGTTTAAAGATAAATAGCAAATTTGATCATCATTCTAAATAAAATGATGAGATTAATTTTAATTACAGACAGATTGGTGGACCACTGCTGTAAAAATATCTGCAAATATAATAAAAACATAATAATATTCTAATTACAGAATTGATAGTCAACGTTTGGCTCAATATTCTACGCTAAAAATCTTAATGCTTTTTTTTTTAACCTAATAACACAGATTTGGATTTGTAGATTTATCGATAAATATAAATTTAAGAAATCGATACCAATTGGGTATTTAATTAAATTTCTTTTTTTAAAAAGAAATTTCAAAACGAAATTATATTTAAGTTTGAAAATGTAATTATATGTAAAAAAGATTATAATATTTTAAAAGATGATATTAATTTGATTTTAAATTATTTAAGTTTTAAAATATTTTTATTTTTATTAACATTTTTTATTTAAAGAAATAATTAGTAAAATTTTTAAATAATTTAATAAGATTTTATTTTGATGTAGATTTTTAAATAGTTTAATGAAATTTTATATAAAAGTTATTTATAAATTTTATTATTAAAAATTTATTAAATTTTTTAATAATTTGATAAGATTTAAAATTTTTAATAGTTCGGGATTAAAAAATAATTTAACTTTTATAAAAATTAAGTTATGAAATTTTTTAATAATCTCGTAGAATTCATAATTTAAAAAAAAATTTTAAACCTAAGAAATTTTTTTAATAATTTGATAGGACTAACGCATTTATTTTAAAAATAAATTTATTATTATTATTATTATTTTATATATTTTAAAACATTCATGATCAAAATAAATAATAAATAAAAAGATAAAATAAAAAAATTTGTTCCAGTTGTTGGACCATGTCCAAGTTGAAGTCTAAAAGAAAACTGAGCTTGAAATGGATATACAACCTTGAAATGAACAAGTTGAAGTCTAAAAGAAAATTGAGCTCGAGATGGATCCAAGTTAACTCTTGATACAAGCTTGAAATGAAACCTTAATGACTTGGGTTCTGTTTCAAGCTTATTCTAGATGGCACGTGGGCTGAAGCAATTGGCTGACTACTGTGCCCAGGTGAGCTGATGCAGGCTGCTACAACTGGGCCGGAATGTGTCAAATGCACCTGGGCCGGGTTGAGTCAGAAGCAAAATGCGGGTCTTAAATGGGTCAAAGAAGCTCAGTTCCTTGGTGCCCAAAACTGTGCCGTTTAACCACTGTTTATAAGCCAAGAAAAATCGAACTTCTTTCATTTTTCCATTTTCTGATTCTCTGTAATCCTTTTTCTCTTCCACTTCTCTCTAACTAGAAGAACAATCAAAGCGCAAAAACTGGTTACCGTCGCAAGTCGCCGCCGTGAGTCTCCGACAACCGTCTCTGTCAACAATTTCGCTGCCTTTCTGCAGCGCTACGGCGTTAAAACACCACTCTTCTTCTTTCCTTTAAATTGGAAAAAAAAAATCAACCGAATAATGTGATTTGATTTTTGAGATTTTATTTCTAGTGATTTGATTTTGTATGAATTAACCTCCATACTTTTCAAAATCATTAAATAACTAATTTCCAAAATCTGAATTCCCAACCCACAATAATCTCACAAAATTTATTTTTCTGATTTTTTATTTTTTTATTTTTTTGACGTTTGACTTTATCTTTTTGATTTTATTTTTTTTTATTTAATTTTTAATTTTAGTCAAAGATTAAAAAAAATTATTTACCCTTTTATTGATAGTGTATTAAATATAAATAAAGTAAAAATATCTGGAATGAAGATGGTGTAAAGTAAAAAGATCTTATATATTATATATATGGCAAGATCAAAACATTCAAAACAATGTGCCCATCCATCCCTTCATTTCCATTAGACTTGCAAGCCCTCACCTACAAAAACATGGAAGATAGTCTTTACCGAGCAGCGTTAAGTGGGAATGTAGCCGCCTTGGATGCGCTGCTTCAAGAAGATGAGCTTATTCTTGACAGGGCTTCACTAACTTGCTTCCATGAGACTCCATTACACATTGCAACCATGCGTGGTCACCTCCATTTTGCTGCATCACTCCTAAACCGACGACCTAAGCTGTCCATGGAATTCGACGCTCTTCACCGTCTGCCTATTCACCTGGCTGCCATCGAGGGCCATGCAGAACTCGTCGCACAGTTACTGTATGCCCCAATTCTTGCTCTGTACGAGAACAGGATGGGAAAACACCATTGCATTTCGCTGCCATGAAAGGAAGAGTTGACGTTATAAAGGTGTTGGTTAGGTATTGTGATCCCGAGTCAATAGAACAAAGGTTGTACCGTGGAGAAACAACTTTACACTTGTGTGTGAGATACAATCAGTTGGAGGCTCCGAAATATTTGGTCAAAGGATCAAATAACGAAGAATTTGTTAACATCCAGGATGATGATGGTAACACCATCCTGCATCTTGCCACATTTCTCAAGCAAATGGAGGTCAGCATTTTCTAGATTTAATTTATACAAGCTAATTATATTGATATTATAAAAGGAAAAAATAAAAAATTTTATACTTGCATACCACAATGAACATTTAAGCATTTGATTTGATAAGTGCATATATTTTTCATTCAACAAATTGATTTTTATCTTAAATATTAATTTTTTTGTATAAAAAATATCGTGACTTGAAAATTTTAAAAAAAATTACTGAGATTTGTTAAGAATAACTGCATTGTCAACATATTTTTATTATAATTAAAATCTTTTCTATTACATAATTAATTAATAAAAATATTTTCGTAATAAAAATGGGTTACGTGTACGTTACAAGTGGAATAAAAGTTTGTATTTCTTTACTATAAATTATTTATTTATGCTTAACCCCTATTTATTTATTTTTGAAAGGGAAAAAAGAATATTAGATAAATTAAAAGAAATTATCTAATCCACTCTCAACCTTTACTTTTTGATAGTGGGTACTTTTGTCAATTGCCTTATGCAAAACTTAACTGCTTGGGAATGTTTCTGGGACTGTGAACCTTTTGTTACGATTAAAAAAAATTTTTTGTTCATGCATGCAGACCCTAAGATGTTTGCTTTCAGTACCTATAATAAAAGCAGGAGTAAATGCGTTGAACAGAATGGGGTTCACTGCATTGGACTTGTTAGTGTATGGTCCCAGAGATTTCAAAAGCCTTGAAATTAGAGACATTCTGATGAAAGCAGTAACCTGCAGAGTAGAAGACCCAAATATAAACACGACTGTTCGAATCCAATCACCATTACTTTCAATTGTCAGTGGGAATAGTGAAACAAAACCAGTGAAACCATCATGGTTTACTCAGTTATGTCGAACATGCAATAAGTTCTTGAAACACCAAGGTGATTGGGTAGCGGAGATGCAGGGTTCGCTGATGCTGGTGGCGACTTTAACCGCAACCATTTCTTTCCAAGTTGCTTTCAGTCCACCAGGTGGTGTTTGGGGTTCCACAAAGACGAAGCACAAGGAACCCGATTGTAGTGTGGGCCTAAATGGAGTTTGACAAGCAGGAACGGCTGTGTTAGCCTTTGTCTATCCTGGAGAGTACTTCGCGCTCATACTTTTCGCAACTATATCTTTCCATGCGTCAGCCAGCGTTGTCCTTTTAGCCATCAGCGGACTCCCTCTGAAGAACAAGGTTTCTACATGGCTTATGACAGTAGCAATGATTATTGCAATCACAGCTACGGCGCTTACCTACATATGTTCAATGACGATTGTCACCCCTGATCATATATTGGACCAATCCAACAGAGGGTACGTAAAAACATTTTCTTTCTGGATCGCGTTACTTGGAATTGTTGTTGTGAGTGCTACAGTGCGCCTTCTCCATTGGCTAATAGCTACTGTTTTGCCCAAGTTCATTTCCCTAACAAGTTCAACAAAGAACAACTGTCCCATCAGTATCTGATCATTATTGCAGCATCAGCTAATTTATCAAACAATGATCTGATGCACGAAATAATTGCTTTTCTTTTTCTCCTTTTTCTGCCATTTATTGTAATTTCCAAAAATAAATTATGCTCTGCTTACTGATCAAGATCATGAGGATGTACTTTCCTTTAATAATGGATTCTCTTAATTTTATCGATAACCTATTTACCATTATCTCTTTTTTTTTTTTTTTGCATTTCTAACTTTTCGTAATTTTATGAATACCTTCTGCATTTGTTAAGTAATTATATTCGGTTAAAAGTTCTGCAATTCCAAAATTGATGTAGACCATACGTAATTTTATATTTGAGATAGTATAAAAACAAACTGATTTTTAGTAATATAATTTACATGAAGTTTTTTTTGTGAAATTTGTGAAATTTTTTAAAATGATTTAGCAAAAATTTTAATAAAAATTTTAAAATGATAGATTAATAAATTTTAATGTAAAAATTAATAATATTTAAAAATTTATTAAAAATATTATTTATAATTCAAATTTGATTAATAACTTATTAAACGATAAAAAGTATGTTAATATTTTTATTAAAAAATTTTATTTAAAAATATATATTAAAATTTATTTAAATATTTTTAAGTTTTCACATTTAATTTATATAACAAGATCTTTTGATTTATCAATTTTAATTTTAATTTTAATTTAATTATTTTTAATAAAAAATTTTACTAATTTTACTTAAAAAATTTTACTAATTTTACTTAAAAAATTTTATCTAAATCTTTCACATTCACATATATTGTTGGAGAAAAGGACTCATTTAATTATCTGGTGAAGCAATTGGTTGTTAGGGTGTTCTTCTGTGAAAATTTGGAATTTCTTCAAATCTTACGTAATATCTCTATAAAATATCCTACTTTGGGAAATATTTGTCTTTTGTTTCATTCTCTTGGTACATACGTAAAAGCTTTCCCCTTTATGTGGGTTTGGGATACGTATATATCTATTATTTGCTTGCACGAGCTTTAAATGCCAATCAATGTGCCATCAGAGGCACTCTGGTTCAGTGGAGTGGGGAGAGCCTCTTGGCAATTGGCACCATGTAATTTGCCTTTCATGACAAGAGTTTTGATCTCTGTCCCATCCAAAAAGCCTTTCGCAACTGGCACCATATAATTTCTTTTCTAGTTTTTGTGTCCCAATTCACTCCTTTGGCTCCATTTCTTTATATATTTTTTTCTTTTCATAACCAGGCTCCTAGCAGCTATATATATATATAAAAAAAAAAAAAGATTTAAAGTGGAGGCCGAAAGGATCATGCGTCGCATTGTAATTGGTTTAGGTAATGCAATTCAAAGCTTCTATACATATTTGCTCATAGACTTGGAATAGATATATACGCAATTGCATTTCTCTTTTTGCCTAATTGTATTTGACTTAAGAGGTTGTAATAATAACTTTGTAGGAAAGAAATGTACTTTAAAGATAGAATTGTGGGTTTTAGTTCTAGTGTAATTAAATTTTTAGACAGAATAATTGTCATGTTATGATTGCTGAGATGACTTTAAAGAAGTTTCACTTAATGCTTTTTGTTTTCTTTCTTACAAGTCCACTCTAATAACAATTTACCATTTCTAGGTAATTATTCATGAAAATTGTCTCATAATTATAATCTAAGGTGTTTTCTGTTTAATGTATAACAAGCAAATAGAAACTTTTTTTTTTTTTTTTGTTATTGTTACTCTTGAAAGCATGTGTTTTCAGAATTTCATGTGATGTAATGTTGGAGTAGAACATACTGCTACATTGGCAAGGTGTATATATACTTTTTTTGTTACCCAGCTACGGGTATAGTTAAATATGATTAAAAAATAAATATTACTAATGAAATTTTAACTATTACAATTTGATTTTTTGATAAAATAACTAATTAACTTTTTAAAATTATTAAAATAATATATCAATAAAAAAAATCATTTTATCGGTGAAATTTTCCTTTAATAATTTACTAATGGAATTATAATATTGATAAAATTGTATAATCGACTATATTTATATCAACGAAATTCTTTCTTTGATAATATTGTTATCGATGAAATTTTTTGTTGATAATACTATATTTTTATGTCGTGTGAGAAAAAATACATGTGATTTCAATTTTCTATGCCCTTTTGTTTCTATTTTTTTGTATACATAAAATTAGGCTATACAATTAAAAATATTCTTTCATTTCATAAATCCCTTTTATCGATCTATTTCAAAATTTGAACTCTAATCTTTTCAGATGAAACATTAAGTTTTACTTAAGATGAGGAAATATTATTTTGAATTGTCATTTTGTTTGTTTTAACTTGATCTAAAAAATTATTTTATATTTTCTATTAATATTTACTCTTTTATGGACATGTTTGGCCACCTCTCAAAAGGAAAGAATCATTATTTTGAGTGACACAAAAAAAAAATCGTTTTCGATAAATGAAATGGATGTTAAATAAATAGTAATAAAAAACAACTGATTCTTAGCAATCAGAGGATTTGTATTTTTGGTAACTAAAAAGCCTCATTTATTTGGTGTAGCAATGAGTTGTTATATGTTATGTAAGCTTTTCTAACAAATGCATATATAATTAATGTTCTTGCTTATCGAAAAATGTTTGTTTTGTTTCATTCCTTTCACAGGGTGTCACGAGCTTTTCCCTTTATGCGTTCCAATGTGGGGTTGCAAATGATTGCATAATTTGTAATTTGGAACTGGCGAATCCTTCCAATGTTATGGATGTCTCCGAAGGGACCTAATTAGCGTAAACTAAATTTATTTATGAGGTCCTTGTCCATTAGTAAAAGAGCAAAAACTAGCGGCACAAGAGAAATATACATTTAGAGACGTTTTGATAATAAACACTTAAAATTTTATAAAAACATGAAAATTAATAACGTTTGTAAGTGAACGATCGTACTAAAATTGTCACTAAAACGTAATATTTTAATAATGTGTTAAAAAGCTCGTATAATACAGTGATTATTGTAATTGTAAAAATGCGACGTATGGTGCCGGCGAGAATGGAACTATGCGCCAGTGAGGGCGTTCGTCCCACAGTTTCTAACTTTTTTATATTTATATGAAATTTAATTTTAAATAAGTTAAAAAATTATAATTTCGTTTTCTCATATGTTACATATAAGTTTTTATATTATTTTTTGTTAAATTAAAAAATTAAATTACACAATTTTATTAATTAATAAATAAATTACAGATAAGATTTGAGTTTTTAACTCTAATACATGTAAAATTAATTTATAGTTTTAATTAAGTAGTTTTAAGTTTGGAAAAAGGGAAATGTTGATTGCTAACAAAAAAGCAATAAATATAAGTACAAGGACCTGATTGGTGATATCACCTTGAAGACCAACAAAGAGGGAGATGGGTGGGGCATTATTCGAGATGAAACCCAACGAACATAGTCCTCCTAGGTTCCATGAAGACCATATGCTTCAGCTCTATAAAGCAGATTTCAAGGGTTCTGTTCCCACCTTGACAACATTGATCCGAAATGATCCACTCATTCTCCATAAAGTATCTCTCACTTCCTTCACTGAAACTCCTTTGCACGTATCAGCTTTGGCTGGTCATCTTGATTTTACTGAAACTCTCTTGAGTGTGAAATCTGAACTTGCCTCTCGACTCAGACTCTCTCAATCGCTCCCCCCTTCACCTAGCTTCAGCCGAGGGCCACGTTGAGATTGTCAAAGCATTGTTGCGTGCAAACATAGATGTTTGCATGGTCCTTGATGAAGAAGGAAGAATTCCACTCCACTTGGCGGTGATGAGGGGACAAGTTGAAGTCATACATGAATTAATCAATGCACAGCCTGAATCGGTTCTAGAGAAATTGAATGGGACCACTGTTCTACACTTGGCTGTGAAATATAATCAGTTAAAGGCTCTAAAACAGTTGGTGACACAGCTGAAGGAGAATGAGGTTTTCGACTTCACAGACCACCTAGGCAACACCATACTCCATTCAGCTACTATGCTGAAGCAATCCGAGGTAAGAGGAACGCAATTATTCTCTTTTGCTGGTTCCTTCAATATCTTGCTAACGATCATGCATCTGATTTATTTGTTATAGAAAGTATATAAATAATTCATTAATTTAATTCTAGTTGAGATCATCCTGCAGACCATAAGATACTTGGCTTCGGCGTCTGAAGTAAAAGCAAAGATAAATGCGCTAAACAGAATGGGTTTCAGCACCCTGGATTTGCTAGAGCATTAACCCCAGAGATTTCAAAGGCCTTGAAATTGAAGACATTCTTATAAAAGCCGGATGTAGAAGATCAACCGATCAGAACACAAATCCACCAAATACGGTTCCAAGCCAATCACAATCAGTTCCAGTGGTTGTTGGGGAGACCCAAGTGAAGGCAGACACCGTGGGGCTGAAAGGGAAAATAAAGTCAGCGTACCGTAAATGCAAGAACTACTTGAAACATCAATCTAATTGGGTGGAGGAGATGCAGGGGACATTGTTGCTGGTTGCGACTTTAACCGCAACCATTTCTTTCCAAGTTGCAATCAGCCCACTTGGTGGCGTTTGGCAACAAGATTACACAGACATAACCGCTGGTGAATTCAAATGCGATTTGCATTATGGAAAATGTGTAGCTGGAAACGCTGTGTTGGCCTACGTTTATCCCGATGACTACCTCTCCCTCGTAAAATACGCGATTATCTCTTTCATTGCATCTCTGAGTGTTGTCCTTTTAGCCATCAGTGGGCTTCCTTTCAAGAACAAGTTTTGTACATGGCTTCTGACAATAGCTATGATGTTCGCAATTACGTTCGCTTACTAACCTTCACAACTGCGATTTGGCTTGTCACCCCTATTCATATCTTTTCTACAAATTCCAAGGCATTAAATAGAACACAGTATATCTGGGGTTTTTTGGTTTCACTCGTTGCTGTGTTTGCTACGATCCGCCTTCTCTTTTGGCTAGTCAGTCGTCTGGGCAAGTTACGCTTCGTAAAGAAAAAACTATCACGTCCGATGAGGAATCAGGGTTTCATCTGTTGAGAAGAATAAATTTGAATAAAAGGTTCAAATCACCAGTGGAATCTAATATCTGATATTCACTAAAAGGTTCAGTGTAATCGTCAATTGAGGTTTGCTCAGTGGCACCAATGTTGATTGGGTAGCACACGTAAAGTCCGCTCAAGTTCGAGCTTTCATGTCCTCATTCTGCCAGCTAAATTAATTAAGGATTAATGATTATGTAATATCAAAAAAATAGAGCTTTACTATCACAATGGAATGGCATTTTACATTCTTTTAAAAACGTTCATTTGTTTAGTCATTTTGTTCTCTTTTTTTTTTTTAAACTCAATAACTGTCATTGATTTTTTTTTTTTTACAAAAATTATTGTATGATAACTCATTATAAATAAAAAAATATCTTCAAAAAATATTTAATTACTTATGAAACAAAATTATATATTATTTTTAATAACTGAAATTTACGGTAATTTCATATTTAATTGATTTCTTTTTTTTCACTTTATTTTAAAAATATTCTAACAAAAAATGTTTTTTTTTAATGTTTTCAATCGCTTTAAATTTGGTGGGTACTTAATTTGCTCAATGTTGAGAATCGCCTCTGTTTCATGACTTTCTTGCTTAAGTTTTTAATCTGAAAATACAAGCCTTTTCATCAGTAGTAATGTGAATTAGACCCATTAATGGTACTAGTTTTTTATTTCAATATACGAAATTTGAGCTAGCAGAAAAAAAAAATCCCTTGTTTTCAGTTGCTTCAATTTTAATGGCTTTCTAGAGGTGGCAAGGAGCAGAAAAAAGTGAAACCAAATAGTCAAGTTGTCGCAGTACTAAGAACAGAACTCCTAGACAAGATAGTCAAAGTCAAGAAAGAACCGAAAAATATTGTCTGGAGAAAACTAGTGATTTGATATTATACTTTTGAGTTTAAGACAACTGATTCTTGAAAGAGAGATAATAAAGGAAAAAAAAACAATTAAGACAAGATTACGGGCTTCTTACAAGTTAAGAAAGAAATAATGGAGAATTGTTTGTTTAAAATTAAAATTAATTATATAATTAAATTCAAATTTTAGTTGATTCAAATATTATTTTAAAAAGATAATAAATTTAAAATCTAAATTTCAATTTTTAAAATTTTTCTCTTTTTCTCAACTCATGATTTTTTTTATATTAAAAAATAAATTATAAAATTAATGTATACTAACTTATTAATGTAATAAAATTAATTTTATAAAAAAAATCACAATATAGTAGAACGCTCTAGTTGCAGGTAGAGTTCCATCAAAATAAAGTCGGACCTGAAAGTCGTTAGGTACCGACATTCAACTAGAGTACTTGGACCTTTTCAGACTCAGGGTTTTACAGAAAACCTAGAACTAGCTATTTCTGAAAAGGCCCCTAACTAACCTAACATGTGTCTAAGAGCTTTGGAACGGTTTAGAATACATATGATGACCACACACTTGGATTAATAAGAATCACATGTATTGGAAAGACCCAAGTACAAATAGAGAAATCTTAAGTTCTTGATCTGAAAATACAGGCCATTTGATCGGAGCTAATTTTTTATTTTAATAAGCGAAATTTTTGCTATAAAAAAAAATCTCCTGTTTTCAATTGTTTCAAGCTTTCTATAGGTGGTAAGGAGCAGAAAAGTTAAAGCTAGTCAAGTTCTTACAGTACACAGAATAGAACTCCCAAACAAGATAATCAAAGCTATGAAAGAACCAGAAAAATACTGCCTAGAGAAAACTAGCGATTTGATATTATACTTTTGAGTTTAAGACAAAATGAAAGAAATAATAAAAGGAAAAAAACAACTAAAATAAGATAACGAGCTTCTTCGTAACTTTAAGAAAAAAAATGAAAATTTGTTATTTAAAATTAAAATTAATTGATTCATATATTATTTTAAAAGATAATAAATTTAAAATCTAAATTCCAACTTTTAAATTTTTTCTCTTTTTCTCAATAATCTTTTATACTAAAAAAATAAATTATAAAATTAATATATACTAACTTATTAATGTAGTAAAATTAATTTTATATAAAAAATCACAATATAGTTGTAAGAGAATTAGTAAAATTTAAAATTTAAATCTATTAAATATTATCTATTAAAAATAATTATTTTAAAAAATTAAATTAAATCTTAAATTTATAAAAAAACCAAATTTAATAGACAAAATAAAATCTGTTACTACTTACAAAGAAAATTCTACTCCCTACCATGTACCTGCAATTCAACTTGTCATTGGCCAACATGTTTTTCTAAATATGTGCCTGCATACACCCAACGCAAATTCAACCTCATTGGATATGGATTACATGTCATCTTTTATCCTCTAACTTATTAAAAACGACTTTAATTCTATCATGTACGAACAAAAACAGCTTTAATTTTCTGTGTCATTACAATTATCCAAATCCTTGTTTTATCGATCCCATTAAAAATCAGCCATTCAAATGCTCTAAATTTTTTTCATACTATAAAAACAACAGCAGGAAATCAAAAACTTTCAGATACCCCGTCCAATTAACTAAAAAAAGTAAAAATCTAATCCGTAACTGACACTTGGCTATTTATCACCTCCGTGCGTATCATTCCCTTTCCTCTCCATTTTTGTCACATCTAATCTACGGTCAGCCACTTCTTTCTCTCTTATCTCCTTCTCTTCCTCCAGAATTTTGTCTCTTAGAACTTCATTTTTTTCCTTTTTTTTTCTCCTACTTTTTCATTTGTTAGTATTTCGTTTTTCTTTCCTTTACTCTTTGAGATCAGAACTTACCGGGTGAAAGTTCCGTCGCCGGGGACAATGATGGTTGAGTCTCCGGTAAGCTGAAATTTTTTAGGTTTGATCGATCCATCCATCTCTCCTTATTTTTTTGTGTACCCAAAAAAATGACACATCCATTTGTTGTGATTCACGTTCGATCCAAATCCTGGTTTCACAAGAGGAAAAAAATCCCTCCATCGTTACTTTTACTTTGCTTTTAATCTCACCCAGACGGTGACTGTTAACTGTGGCGGTGGTGTTGGGTTTGCCTTTTGGTGAATTTGTACAATTTGAATGTTAAATTGTTAAGAGTTTGTACAGTTACTTATGATATATAAAGAAAGATATTAGCTTCTTTTTTTTTTTAGTTTTGGGTTTGATCTTTAAAAGTGGCAAAGATGAATATAAGCTCGGCCGAGGAAGAATCGGCGCAAGAGATTCTTATCCCGGCCGATATAGATTGGGAAATGCTTGATAAATCCAAGTTTTTCTTCTTAGGTGCAGCTCTGTTTTCAGGTGTTTCAGCTACCCTTTACCCTGTAGTTTTGGTTAAAACAAGGCAACAAGTTGCTCAATCTCAACTTACCGGTATACGAACCGCCTTTTCCATTGTTAAACACGAAGGTTACAGGGCCTTATACCGTGGGTTCGGTACTTCTTTAATGGGAACAATCCCAGCTCGAGCTCTTTACATGGCAGCTCTTGAGGTTACCAAAAGCAATGTAGGGAGTGCCACGGTTAAGTTTGGTATACCTGAACCAACCGCTGCTACAATTGCTAATGCTGTTGCTGGTTTAAGTGCTGCAATGGCTGCGCAGCTTGTTTGGACCCCAATCGATGTGGTTAGCCAGAGGTTAATGGTTCAAGGAAGCCACCCAAGTTGTAGTTCACCTTGTAGATATGTAAATGGGATCGACGCGTTTAGGAGAATAATTAACAGGAATGGTCCAAAGGGATTGTATAGAGGTTTTGGGATATCGATTTTAACATACGCTCCATCTAATGCAGTGTGGTGGGCATCTTATTCAGTTGCTCAGAGGTTTGTTTGGGGAGGCATTGGATGTTACTTTCGGAAAACAGATGATGAGAATAATGATAATAATACAATTAGGCCTGATTCCAAAACGATTATGGCAGTTCAAGGAGTCAGTGCTGCTATGGCTGGAGGAGTATCAGCTTTGATCACGATGCCACTTGATACAATTAAGACTAGACTGCAAGTTTTCGATGGGGAAGAGAATGGGCGGCGTGGACCAACAATTGGGCAAACTGTTAGGAATTTGGTTAAAGAAGGTGGGTGGTTGGCTTGTTATAGAGGGTTGGGGCCACGTTGGGCGTCTATGTCAATGTCTGCAACAACAATGATCACTACTTATGAGTTCCTGAAACGGCTCTCAGCCAAGAATCAAGATAGCTTGATGTAATGAAGAAGAATAGAGGAAAATTTAAAAAGAAACAACGGGAAAAACAGAGCTTTTTTCTTTCTGGGTTCTTTGATCTTTTGTTTAAATCATGCTGTGAATGTCTCTGCTGAAATCTCTTTGTTTTTTTGCCTTCTTTTAAGTTAGCCTGCCTTACTGGCTGCCTAAGAAGGTTGGTGAATGTACTGTGGCTGTAGGTCTATCTCAATATGAATATATAAATCTCTTTCTTTTCTCCCACTACACTTAATCTTGGATTAACATCTAATTTATAAAGGATTTTAAAATTTGTGGGTCATCTTCATTTGCTTGACTTCTTCCATTGTATCTCAAGATTCCTTTGATAGAAAATTCGAGTGACATCTTCTTAGGGATGGGAATGGCCGGGGAAGTGGATGACCTTTGAGGAATCTAGGGTTTTTAATAGATTTGATTGAAATCTTGCAAAAGCATGATTTCATGTTTTTTTTTCAGTCGATTGAATCTGAACCACTATTGAGATCAATCATTCAGCATTACCGTTGGTTCTCATGCTTTTTTGTTTTTGATGAAGCGGCAGATGGTAGTGGGTCGGAAAAAGTTGGATAATCCTCAGTTTTATAATGGGTAGTAACTTTGTTGTTGGTGGGTCTATCTGCACCCACCTCACATTTGGATGGATATGGAAATTGGAAATTTTGGATTATTATTCAAATATTTAACTAATTAGCCATTGCCCCTACATATCTATCTTTGGTTTTTTTCAGTCCAAAGTCCTATTTTATTTTCATTTGACTTATTTGCTACCATTTAGCAGCCTTTTAATCCATTTACTGATTTGACTTGCTATTACCTGGTTTTTCGAATAAGAGTAATTTCAGTCTCACATGACTGACTGTAGCTTTACTTAAATCGGGGGGAATCTTTTCTGTAGCTTGACAATGACATAAATTTCATAATATGGTCAGTTCTAATGAAAGAACTGTGGGTTCTTATCCATTCCAAGTTTCTCACGTGTTCTTTTCCTTGTGAAGTTTCAGTTTCCCGGTACTAGAGAGAATCGAGAGTTTGCGATGGGTTAGCTGAAATTGGATAAGATTATTAGGTAATGAATCAAAATCTCACATGGTTTAAAGCCTTTATAAAGATGCAATAGGTTGGACCGAGTAATTAAATTTCCCAGTCCTCGGTTGATTCAATGAACTTGCCCAGAATTTTGTAGAGCGTGGTCCCCAAATTCAACCAAAAGGGCTATGTTTTCTTTATCTTTAATTAATGCACCATTTCCATGGGATAAGTTTCGTATTTAGAAAACATAAATGTGAGTAAACATGAATTTCTGAGCGCTTTACGGACTCTAGTGAGTACGCATGAGAATGTGACCTGCATCATCAAACAGATATTGATGAAGAGAATTCCCTATCAAATATAAAGGATTTCCAAATGTTTCTCAAGGGAATTATCATAAACTAAACTACAAATAAACAGTACTATTGAAAAACTGAGATTTCCTAGACCAAAGTGACCATTCACATGCTGCACTAGTCTACTTCAAAGACACCGTAACTGATTAACATGACGGTTAAAAGAGTACACCAAGAGTACAGTATAAATGGAGAGAGCATATATTTATGATATCATTCATGGGCGAGCTCTCTTGTTGCTGCATGATGGGCACTTGTACTGCTTAATGTGCTCAGCTCTGGCTGGAGTGATCTTCACACACTTCCCATGGAACCACTTCTCGCAGACATCACAACAAATCCAGAATTCATCCGATGCATAGTTCTCACCACAAGCCCCACACAATGTCTCTCCATGCTCTTCTTCATCTTCCTGGTCCAAGCCTTCCTCTTCGTCCTTCGGCTGCAATGCTTTTGGATACTTTGCCTGAGATTCCCGCTGATCAGAGCAAAACAAACAACAAAACAGAAGGATGATAAAGACTTCGACATAATGCTTAAGCCATAAAAATAAACTTCAATTAGTTGCCTAATCTTTGAACCGAAAAAACAAAAATAGTAGCTGTCCAATTTTAACTAATAATACAGCAGGAAACATAATAATGACTACTTGGATTTTCAGAACCACTCAACTGATCTTGCTGTCTATAAATTGCACTGAAAGCTCTTCTTCACATGGTAATACAATTTTGACTACAATATAATACAATCATGGATAGTTGCCACCTACATATTCGTTGCAATTATCCATACTAAACAATATGATTTATGCACAGAAAGTTCTTTTTTACCACTTTGGAATTGGACTTTGATTTGTTGCTACTGTGATTCGAAACCAATGACTTCTCCTTTGTTTGTTTCTTAGCAGCACCAGTTACAACTTCAAATATCGTTGGAAGATCATTAATCATGTTGAAAAGCCGTTTCCTGTATCAAAGGAAAGACATTATGCCAGCCTCACATTTTATGATCCTATGCATAAACAGAATACTATAAATATCGAGGAAATGACTGATTTCCTAGTTGAGTTTATCAACCTTCATTTAAACTTCACCCTGCAATTACTCTGATCCTTTAGGTAACTACAACCAGACATGCCTTTCATGGACTGACATGATTCAATCAAATCCACCTAAACCCATTTTCTTTTTACCTTTTTCCTTTTAGGTCCAAAGGCTATTCAATAGGAGCCAACCCTGTCCTAACCCTACTGGGCAGATCAGAAGCCAGGTCTTCCATAACCAAGTTACATTACAAATTATTATTTCAGGCCATTGGCATGAACTTTGCAATCGAGCTTAATAGTCTAATAGCTCAAAAACAAGCATGTAATGTATAAAATATTACACAATGAGCAAAACCGAAAGGGTACATATAAACAAATTATTATTTGTTTTTCTATGTCTAAGCACTAAAGGCTTGCACCTGATGAGTCAAACATTGCAAGTCAGACACTTGCATATCCATTAAACAGAAGACCAAACTCAATTCTGTAGTAAGAGAGAGAGAGGACGATAAACCTAGCTATTGACCAAAAATAAGAAGAGTATTCCTACACAAACAACAAGAATAACATCCCCAAGTTTCAATCGAAACTAAAAATAAAAGCAAAAAGACCATGTATAACTTGCTTTTGCTTCAACTAAGAACATGCTGAAGAATACAGTTAGGCATCGATTAATATACCTGTCAGCTTTATCAAATCCAAATCTTGCACCAAAATAGAAGGCAACTGAAAGCAGCCATGCATCACTATGGACAGCAACTAAAGATAACCAGTCCTTTTCTTGCATTCCATCCCTTGCAAAGTTAATACCCAAGGCAGGTTCTGGTAGTTCAGGAGGTACTTCCTCAGCAGGTAAATTGACTTCCCATTGTTCACTTGGGAAGCCATACAAGCACAGATTCTCCTTCTCTGCAAATAAAAGAACATAGAACATAAAGGCTTGGTGGATGAGAATCAACAATCTCGTGAACACTAGCAACTGGATAATAAAGAATATTACAAACCTAGCTATCAAACATATACAAATCAATAAAACAATAATATGAGCAAAGGCCTCCAAACTAAGAAGTTGATCTGTAGTAAAGTCGCCCCAAAAATAATACACCTCTTGATTGATTAAGAACCTAGCTGTATGTCCAGAACAATCAAGGATCAATTCCACGCTAAAGCACAACTAGCTCTCCTATCCCACTTAGGCCCCATTTAGCATAGAGGTGGGAACAGGCTTTTGGCCTAAAAGCTCCTTTTCACCACAAGTCAATACCAAACAGCATAACAATGTGTGGCTTTTCGCTCAATAAGCCTGGTTTTGAAAAAAATTAATATACCATATTATCCCTGGTCTCTAAGACATTATTATTTTATACATTTTTTTGGACATTTTAATTCACCACAGCATTCTTCACAATAATACGAAACACTTAAAATTTTCAACCACACTTTTTCTCACAGCAATTTTAAATGCACTTTTTTCAGATTTTATTGCAGTAAGACACCGTAAAGACAATAAACGGCAAAAAGAGCATATGCATCAGGCAAAATTAAACAATCACCAAATCATGCCTTCAAACGTTGTGCATCTTTGTGAATCAATCATGAGAATTGATCACAAACAACATAGATTATACTACCAGTTGTTTATATTTAATATTTCAATATCTAAAGGGAACAAAGCAACCAAACAGGAAGTGTAGAGAGGAGACTCAAGATGCGATTCAATAAAGCAGTATAAACTTTGTGTTAAAATGCCCAAGAGTCTGGGGCTCATAGCAAGCATATGAACACCACCCTTAGCACTCCATGTATCTTAAATCAAAGGTAATAGCTACAAAAGCTTTAAAGACCACTATCTCCAAGTACCATTAATCCTAGAACCACATAGAGACAACCATTAAAAACAATTAAAAGCATCAATGTCAAGTTGACAGCTTGAGAATGAGACACTCCACATTTGCTTTGCTTTTCCTTTAAAAGGGACTCACAGACCATCATCCAACACCCACAATAGCAAACAAAATTATACATTAGAAAAAAAGTGAGACCAACTCTACACAGATTCCAGCAAGAAAGTTAAAACAAAATAATTTTTAAGTGCTTAATAGGTTACTGTCAAAGCATTTGTATATAAAACGATGAAACGACAAAAGCAGCAAGCCTTACCAGGATCACACTGCTGATAAAATTCTTCAACATCTACAACACGACAGAACCAAAACCCATTGAGCAAACAAATAAATCTCAAAAAACTTAATATTAAATTTCAACTGACATTGCATTTTACATTTTTTCCACCTCTACATTTTCTCAGTAATCATTAAGTTAATTGGAGCAAAATGCAGGAGCAACCTATAAAATTCAAAACCCAATGAAATTCAAACTAATTTACGATAAAAGTTCAATAAAATTGAGTTACATTTGATTCCATACTTTCTCAATAATCACATTAAGGTCAACCAAACTAAAAGTGAAAAGCATTTTAATAAATTTGATAAAAAAAAAGTAACATATTTGATAAAAAAAACCTCTCAAAACAAAAACAAAAACAAAAAAAATACAATTATAAGCGCACTTTTCCTTTCTATTTACATTCCTAAAGTTTATCAAATATATATATATATATATATATATATAAAAGCAAGATAAAAATAAGAAACAAAATCTTAAAACAAATAAAGATCAAAGAACGAAAAAAAATCAAACTTCCAAAATAAAAACAACCGAAAAATGGAAATTTTCCAAACACAAAGCAAAACAAAACAACAAAAGAAAAATAAGGAAACAATAAATAAAAGAAAACCAACATAACTATATTTTTAAGGAAACTGAAAAAAAAAAAAAAAAGAGTGAAACCCAAAACAACATTTACTTATTGCTTGCCAATCAGCATAAAAACTAAAAATTTCCAAAATTCAGACCGAGGTTTCAAAAAAAATAAAGACAGTAGCTTTCACTTTGTGTTTTAAGTTTTCTCGGGAAACAAACAGAAACCTGTGGTGAGAGCTTTGATCATGCCAGCTCTTCGTCCTTTGAAATCCCTAAAAACCTCTTCCACCGTTCGAGGATTACACGCAGCTCCTCCTCCTTCCATTTATCTCTTTTCTCTGTTCGCAACCCAAAAGAAAAAATTTCTTTCTTCTTTTTGCTATTAGTCAAAATGAGAACACCATTTTTGTTCTGGCCGATGGAAGGAGGATAGAGTGGTGATTTTAAATTTTGATTATGGACTTGATGGGTAGGTTTTGTTTCAAGTTGGACCGGATTTGAATCTGGATTTGTTGGTCGGGTTAACCATATTTGAGAGAAGGGTGTTGAGTCCGATTATCCAAAACGACGAAGAGGAAAGATTCGGTGCGCTCAGTTGTTGTTTATGAGTGGTGCTGACGTGGAGGTTGGAGAAAGACACGTCATCATAGGGTTTCTTTTGTTCTTGAGCGGGACCCATATTTTATAATTTTTTATTTTAATGATAGTAGATGTTCAATTACACAATTAGTTGTTATTTGTAAAAAAATGTCAACTATTTTCAATAAAAATGATTTTATTATTTAGGGAATTATTTGAATTTTATTTTTAATAAAAATCATGCATCAATTAATTGAATTGAATATTTAAATGTTTATATAAAAATAATTTATAAATATTACAATTAAATTTTTTAATTTAAATAAAAATCGAGAAATATATGTATATTTATTCTCGAAATATTAAATTAAATATTCGGATATAAATATTATTTTCCTTTTAAAAACTTAAAAAAACCCCAAAAGTATTAAAAAGTTGAAACTGACTTTCGATTATTGAATGAATTCAAATGAAGGATTGTGTAAATGACTTTCGGGTTTACCAGACAATACTTGAGCTAAAGTTTTAAAATCAGCCTTTCTTTTGCTTTCGCTTTCAGCTGGGTAAACCACATCACCTTATAAGAATGAAGCATTTCCAGGAGCTTACTGAGATTGAAATCCCTTATTCCTTCACTACAAGATGATGTTGTGTGAATTACAAGCCTTTACCGGCCAGAAAACATACAAGCTTTTGTTATCATATTTAATCACTTGCATTTTTACCTTGAAACCACTGTTACTGACTAGAAATTTTTGTCCCAAACAGGAACCATTCAAGTAGTGTGAATTTGAGCTATTCGTTTCATAAATGTTGCAGAGTTGGTATATGGAGTTGAAAATTAATATGGATGCCAGGGCATGCATTTATGTTAAACAATTCCACTAATCACCAATTCACCAAAAGTCGAACTCTTGAACGAAAAGATGAACAGTAAGTTAAAGGTTCAGCAAGAAATAACTCCATGTCCATGGTTTTTGAAAGAGTCATTGATGACAGGCGAAGTAAACTAAATAGAGCCAAGGATGACTTCCCATGGGAACAAAGCAGCCGCATTTTTCATTGAAGCACCAAATACGGACTGCCCAGATGAGAATTTGTTATCTCTGTCTATCAGCAGAGACCAGAACGATGATGGACGTTTTCACCACCATCCATGTCGTCGGCATGACCTGGCATGGTTCCACCAATGTGAGAAGGATAGCCAGGGAACCTGAAATCTGGCTGCTGAAACATTTCATCACTGTTGGAGGCACTTGAGACATCAGAACAAGAGGTAGCGGACACAGCATCGTTGTAATTTTCCAGCTGATGAACTTCTGATTTGGTGACGTTTGCAGACAAATGTAGCTGTGGATACCTGGTCATGTCCTGTCCATGGCTAGTTGGGATACACTTGGATTCTTGGGGCTCCTCTGTGTTTAGAAATCGCCCACCATTTCCTCTAGCTCTTTTTAAAGCATGAAGATGTCGAGACTCATGCAGATATGGCTACAAACATTTATAAAAGAACTTCTCAGATAATAATCATTGAAAACCAAAAGACCGGACTACCATCATGGGCCATGTTGCAGTTCAGGTGCAGCAAGAAGGAAAAAACTTGAAGAGACATACCTTTCGAACTTTGATAAGTTTGTTCTGAGCCTCAAGCTTCGCACGATACTGTCTTCGCCTGAGAATAGCCTGGTACTGCTTTGCATTAACATAAATAGGTTCATCTTCTGTAAGCTCCAGAGGCAGTGGAACTCGAGCAGGAAGCACAGTCATCATATGAGGATGATGAATCTGCTCAGAATGCAATGGCAAATATCTCACAAATGGATAACAATGAAGACACATTTTTGTCGGTCATACATAACAAGGGCTGTGGCTTAAATATTCTCAGGGCATATGATTTATTAGCAACACAAAAATCAGAATCTATATCAAAACCACTTTAGTGAAGAATCGACAAGGCTGAAATAGAATAAAATAAATAAAATTAGACATCTAGTTATAAAAGTTATGGGATGTTTGAAAGAGCTATATTTTATTGACTAGCATTATATGTATATATATACATACGGCATGTTACAGACAGAATATGTCACTATAAACACATAGATTCCAATTACATAAAATCAGGATTTTGATTGACAGTTGACACCTCTTAGAGTGGACTTTAATACACATCCTTGATACTAGTAACCTCTCGAATTTTTTTTGCTACTCAAAGACAGTTGACAAGAATAAATCTCACTTCTGCAATACTTTTTGCATCGTTCATGCTTCATAGTGTAAAACCACTTCAAACAATAAGAGCATAAAAGAAGAGCTTCTCTCATAAAGAATCAATTTGATAAGAAAAGCAAAAAAGAATAAGAGTAAAGTCGGATGCAAAGTGAAATGAAAGACAGAAATTAATAAGAAACAGAATAGTTTGTAGATGTGCTTAATGAACACAAAAGAATCCACAAGGCCAGCATAATTTTTTTTTTCTGTGCATTCTTTATATAAAAGAAAGAATGCATGACGCCAGGAAGGTGCTGATGGATTAAAATAATGGTCTATGGCATCTATACTTTATCAAAATCAACAACTTATCCTCCGACTTGTGCTTTCATATTCATTTTTTTCAGCATCAAGGTTGCATTTATAGAAACTAAAGGACTAGATCCTTTAATCTGGTTTCAAAAGTCTAGGTTCCTTCAACTACTTTGTTTTATGAGATTCCTCAAAGAGAAGACTACATTTAGGATAATCAAAACGAAAGGTATAATTGACTCCTAAATAAATCACTTATGGTGTTAAAAATGATTTTAAAAGCAACCATCCTCTTTTCTATGAACTGATAATATGGCAGAGTGAATTACCTGCCATCAAACAGATATCAATGCTGCAAAGGTACCTAATTAACACAGCAAAAATCTTACCACAGCTTGTGGTCCATAAGCAGCAGCCACTACACCACCAAAATATGGCTCAGCATAATGGAGTGGAATATGAGCCTGCAGTAAAAAAGTGATATATCAGACTATGATGCATTTAAATAGCATCCAAACAGCATAAGCAAAAACTTACAATTGATTTGCTATAGTCAACTTGTGATGGAGGGAAGATATATTGTGATGGAGGGAAGATATATTCCTGAGTTCCCATTGAGGAGACTAATTTAACATGGCCTCCAACAAGCTTCCCATGAGTTTCATTACCTCCTAAGCAGGTGCAAGAACAGCTAATCAGATATACCCTTGGTCAGGTGAACAAGAGAGAAAAAATCGCATTAATTTAACATAAGAACTAGTAATATTTTGTTAAGGGAAGCTCTGCTCCCAGTTGTAGCAATATATTACTATCTATAGACAGGTGGTAAGGTGAAACCTAACAATCCCTTTAGTGGACAGATTTGCAACTCCCTTCTTCTATTTTAAGCAAATTTAGTCAGAATATAAGAGAAGTAAGCCCATCAGAACATGCATACAAGTTAAAAGCAGAAAATGTTGCTGGTAAAAAATAAAATATAGCAACTTGCTAAGACGAATTCCAAAATATATATTAAGGAAAAAATAAGACAGATTGAATAATTATCCCACACCCACACTTAGGGATACATCACAAAGAGGAAAATTGGGCAAACATAAAAACCTGATGACGCTGAAATTAAACTTTGCCAACGAAGATTGCTGTCTCCAGCACTAGCCACTTCAGGGTAAGATTGACCAGTTGATTGAGTTGATGATGAGTTCTGGTCCTGGAATTGAAAATTTAGCTGCTTGGTGTTATGAAATTGTTGAGGCAGAACTCCCATCTTGAGGCTTAAACTTTCAGACATGGATGATTGCTGGATATGAGATTCAGTTGAGTTGTCCCAAGATGAGCAGCCAACAAGATATGTGCACGTTGAATGCGAACTTACAGCAGAATCCCTTGTATGCAAGTTTTGCATTGTGGCAAACTACTGTTCAAACTTCTAAGTATCCTGACTTATGAGGGAGCCCAGATAGATCTTTAAAAATGTTAAGCCTTAAGAGGAAATATTTGCTGCTATATTTTAGTGTGTTCACACATCAGTGACCTAGCAACAAACCAAACATCGTCACAGTGTTAGATATTTAAATTAGAAAAGATAGAAATAAATTATTGCAAGCCTTCTTTCACCAGGTATTGGAAATTTTATTAGACTGACTTAAGTAGACTTCAACAGATTAGGAGGAACAAGTATAGAAAGCGACTCGACTTTAAAAGCAAACATGTTATACTGCCAAATTTAAACATAAATATCAAGAGGTGGAAAAAGAAGGCTAGCTAGGAGTCTCCAGCAGATTCACAGAGCCATAAAAAAATATACAAAACAAACTTACTTCCAAGTAAAGGATTATTGTATAAATAAATAGAAAATCGTATGAACCCCACACACCCCATTGCAGTTCATCGTCTGAAGTTCCATTTACTCATGCCATCAAATTGATTAATTAGACTACAAATTTCTAATGAATTTTGTTTTGAGGTGATAATGCCTCACTCAGCATGGAAACTATTATACAAAAATTATGATAAAAATGACGAAAGAAACCATTCCATTTTCACTTATAACAAATGCAGCGACTTCAAATCATAAGCATTTCTTCCGGGTTAAGCTCTGGCGGGTGGTGGGAGGAGGATGGGAAGACTATTGAAAACCAGTAAATAACTGAACAGAAAAATCAGGTTCCTGTATTAAAATCGAATTGTTTGATACAAGAACACCAACTAATGTTCTTCAAAAAAAAAAAAAACATCAAACAATATCGACCATTAAGCCCAAAAAAGAGATCCAAAACAAGGATGTCCTAATATGGAAAACAAATAACACAAGAGTAGATAAATTTGAATGGATTCTTGCTCACATAAATTCTACATAATCTCAAACTCAAAAGTCTTTCATGCATGCAAAACCCACAACAAAAAATCCAAAGAGAGAACTGAAAGTTGAACCCAAAAAAAAAAAAAAAAGAAAGAAAGAAAACCCATTAATAAGCTAAACATGCAAATTCCAACCCACCATCCCAGGCTCCAAATCCAAGCATATTCAAATCCTATAACCTCATAGACACAAGAAAACTTTCTTAGCAAACTAAATCCACTAAATTTTATCAAACAAAAAAAAAAAAAAACACAAAGTATATAATCTACGCAGAAGAGATGCATAAATAAAGAAGTATTAGATAAAACAAAAGAGGTAAAAACCCAGACAAATAAAAGCCAAGAAAAACAAAGGAAGGAAAAGGAAGAAAAGAAAAGAAATACCTTTAGGATTTGATAAAGTGAAAGACAAATAACGCAAATGGGGATTGCTCTTCTAAAGCTTGGATTTGTGCATGCCTCTCACTTTCCTTCCAAACAAAATATAAAAACTCCTTCTCTCTCTATTTCTCAAAAGCTCAGTACTTTCTCTTTTGGGTCTTTTTCTTTTTTACTAAACCCAAAAAGAAACTTATGTTTGAACAATATTAGTATTGCTACATTTCTACTTAAAAATTCATTTTTAAAAAGTTGTCTTTTTCAGCTCACCACGTTTATCACGCTACTAAAAAATGGTTGTTTTTTTAGTCGGAATCATTAGTTTTTGGGGCTTTTTGTCGTTTTGTGTTAATGGGTGATAAATTGTTTTTGCAGTAAATTCTTTATCTTCAGAGTGGCAGCAAACGTCTTTTTCGGCCTTTATGTATGTACAGAGTGGCAGTCTTATGTATGTACCCTGTCGTCAATACCCTCAGCCTCAGTCGGCCCCCGTAAATATTCACCTGCACTTTCTCTCACGCGCTGTCACATCCCGTGTTTCTTCCATAAACCCTTTGAATTTTGTTATTATCCAATCCTTTTTCTCGATAAATTTGAGGTTTTCTTTTTTTCTTTTTAAATAGATAGGTTAGCCTCTATCCTTACGTTAAAATGCAAATGTGCAATTCTTTTGGTCTTTTTAAGAATTTTCCATTTTAAATAAAGTCAATGACTATTCCAATAAAATAAATAATAAAAAAAATTAAAATTCACTTTTTATATATAACTAAGACGAGAGCTCTTTTTCGTTACGGAAAATGTTAAGAGAATTTAAAATATATATATTTAATCTAACGTTTAATATAAAATATTGAATAATAAAAAAATAAATAAAAGTAAATAATATTACAAATTAAAAGAATGATTTAAAGAGACTAATAATCTTAATTCATAACCAAAAATAAAAGAAACGAATCCTCACTTAAAACTTCATATAATAACTTAAGCTCTATTAATATAAATTTCAGCTCTTTTTTTTTTCTTGCATGAAATTGTAGCATTGTCTCCAATGGATTCATGAAGTTGTAGCAGTCTCGTTAATATCCAATGTGTTGTAATAGATTGACACACCTCCAACAACAGGAAAATTTTATTACATTCATTTTTGCATCCAGCGTACTGTACCGTGAGATATAAAAATGATAAAACAACACTTAGGAAATGATTTGATGGTGATGAACAGATCCAACAAAGAAACTGATGTTTCAAAGATTCAACAGTCATACAGTACCAAATTATGAAACAGGAGAAATGGACTCCCTCAATGCCACCGTATTTGTTCCTTTCATCAGATGTGCTATTATGACCATAAGCATGCAAATATAAACCTAGATTATGTAACAAAATCTTTTTATTTTATTTTTATTTAATTATTTTTAATAAAAAATTTACGAATTTCACTTAAATATTTTATTCAAAATTTTTTTTTTATCTTTCAAAACAAAATAAAAAATTAAAGTGCATAAAAGACGAATCTCAAATATGATTTAGCTTCCTTGATTTTTTTTTTTTTTAATATGATTTGATTATAAGTTTAGTTGAAAAGAAATTATTATGCATATACCATCAAAATTATTAATTTTTAAATTAATCTTCACGTACATTTTTTTTATCATCGGAATTTGAAAGAATTAATGAGAGGAAGTTAAATACTAATTAAGAATCTCAAATAGCCGATGTGTGAGTTTATAGTGGGTTATATAGAGATTGTATAGTAGTTAAAATTAATTAGTGTTTAATTACTGGTGTTTTCTTTTGAAAAAAAAAAAAAAAAAACACTGATTAGGAATGAAGTTTTATAAGCATTATTTAATTTCTATATATTTTTGTAAAAAATTAATTAATTTGTAGACTTAGGAGTTTGATTTTATTTCTCGTTAATCATTGATTCCATATTTAATTAAGACTGATAACCATCAAGACTTTACAACTTTCTCAACAGAAGGACATAAATCAAGACTTTTCATGTTAATTTTAGTTTTTAGCCTTTAAACATTTTTTAAAATATCTTAAGGCTTAAATGACAACTTTATCCTTTTATTATTAGCTTAATCAAGTGACGAATGTCACTTAACGAGATTAAGGCAGGTATAACAGAAGTTTAAAATCCTAAAGATTACTTTCTACTATTGTTAACACAAATTTTTCCTAAATTATCCTCTAAATTTTTTTAATGACATTCATGATTTGGCCAATAATTCTTAGTTAGGGATAGTTTTAACTGTATTTATAGATTATAGATTATAAATTATAGATGAATGAAAATTTTAAACTTTATAATTTATAAGTTATGTTTAAAAAATTATCCTGTATATTTTTTATTAAATTAATTTTTTAATTTTTAATATATCTTTAAAAAATATGAGATTATCTTTTAACAAAAAGATTTTATTTTTAATTCTTTTTACTATCATCATATAATTATCCAATTGCAACTCAAAATTTAATAGAAATTCAATATTTTAGTAAAGCCTACACGATTTAAAATTGTAATTATTAGTTGCACTGGTGATCTAATCTTTTATATAATCTATTTTTTAACTCTTATAAATTCTTTTGATGATATATGGATTTATAAGTTTTACTACGTGAGTTTTATTATTTAATTAAAATTATAATTTATTAATTAATTATTTAATAATACAATTTGATTACAATATAATAATTGATTATTTAATTAATTATATAAATATAATACTTGGTTTATCAGTTATTTTGAACTTGGTGTATTGCATACAGCATATGGCACTCGTGGACATCTAAATCGTAAAACCGGAAAAGACAATGTATATTGCTAGATTAAAAGAAAAAGAAAATTATAGTAAGGGAAAAGTGATGTGGTCCTACTCCTACATACATTCATTGTTGGACAACTAATAAAAAACAGTTGTTCCAAATTCCGATGTATTCTTTCATATATTCTGCAAGGCATTCTAGTTGGTATAATTTAGTAAATCATAAAAAGGTTGGCATCCTTTGTTCTTTGGCCCTTGAATTGTCATCTAACAAGTTTTTTTAGACATCAACTATCATTGTTTCCTCGTCGTATTTGCTCAATCGTTTTATATCAAAAACCCAAAAGCTAAGACTCATGTTCACAATGTTGACATAATGAAATATTCAGTCAATTCTATATTTAGTCTTAAACAAAAGTCTTTTGTCTTGGTTTCTCGAGGACAATGCTTTGTGAACCAATCTAATATTGATTACAATAAGTTTGATTTTCGAGTTTCCAATCTTTAACTTTTTGTCATGCCAATTATGTTTGATGCACCCAAAAAGGTGAAAAACTATAACATATCTCTATATGTTTGATTCCTCCCAAGTCAGGCCACAAGTAAGAGGACTATTAGAAGAAGATGATCCCTAGCATTCCAATTGTCTATAGTCTAAAGCCAAACACATCCGTTTCAGATAAAACTCAAATTCCAACTCAGGCAGTGTCCTTTTTTCCGGTAAATAAATGAATGGAGTTCAATTAAATGTGCAATGTAAAGCTTAGCCCTTCAATTCAATCTACATTACAAATTTAATCAAAGTTCACATCATGAACTTGCCATTTAGCCATGAATGGTTATTCAATCATGAATTGTAAGTGACTTTAACTGTTTTCCATAAGCATCTATCTTTTCCGCTATCTAAATTCTGAACCCCCACCCCCAAAGGCACACACAGATAGATCCCAGGCTACAGTAACCAGAAAATAATATAGAACAAAATACTTTGTACCACAAATTGATTCAATACTATCAATACTAAAACAACCAATCAGAAAAGTACGGGTTAGTTAACAAAAGCTAGAAATCCAAAGTCACGATGTGAATGAAGCATACAAGGTCATAAAATCATCTCCCAGGACGGGTAAACATCCCCTGGGAACATGGGGTGATCAAGTCCTATAGGATCTTTCTTGGACCGCTGGGCTTTGTTTTGAGAAAATTGAGATCCAAGCAGTCCCTCAAAAGTTTTATTCTTTGCTAATAGAGCCGAGCTCCCAAGAATGCTTTCAGCAACTAATTGGTTAATAATCCCGTCCTTTGTATTGCATTTCCTGCAAGAGACGGTTACAATTCTATCAGGATTCCAAGATGTGGAATGTTCTGGATAACAAATGAAACACCAAAAACAGAGGATTTCATTTTTTAAAAAAATTTTTCTCAAACAAAAAAAAAGGTTAAATGTGATGATCATAGTCTTTGATCCTCTCAGGAAAGAGATGACATCTTGCACTAAGTTTAAAGAAAGTTTTACAAAAGTTCTTATTAATGGAATTCTCCAGGAAGCATCATTTGTGACTATACAAGTGGTAAATGGGAGTGTGTTCTAAGAATGCTAACCTAAAGTGTCATAATTATCAAGCTAAATATACATGAACCAACATGTCCTATACAAACTCAAAATTTTCAAACCACTTACAGGTTGGTAGTACACCACTGGTCGTTGCCCAAAAAGCATCGGCTGCCCATACTGCAATTTTGAAGAATATAAATAATAAATAATCATATCAAGATGGGTCAATGAACATATTAATAAAATAATATTAAGGTTGCACCTGAGGTCCATTTGGATGAAAATATGCTTGTGGTGATTGTATTGGTGCCACCTGTGGATTGAATATAACAGGCTGGGGACCAGGAAAGGGCGGTGCAATCTGCCAAAACCACATCATCAACAACACCACACAAGTAAACTAATGAGAATACATTTTGGATTGAAGGAAAAAAAAATCTACATTGAAATTAAGCACCAGGCGTAAGAATGAAACTGAATACTAATAGCTAAGACTACCAAAGTTTACCATCTCACTTACTAAAATTTATACTGCAGAATAAGGTGGCATCCTGTTAAAAATTACTGAACACAAGATTATATACTTAAAAGAAAGTTACAGGTTCTAGTGAATATCCTGACTGGGAAAAATAGGGTCACACCAACACGGCTACACCTGATCTGAGATGAAAGTAAGTCCAATCAAGGTAGTAATTTTTCCATATTAAGTCAAATTGACCTAACTTAACCACACCTAAACCATCAATACACACAAATGTAACTGCAAGAAACATGGGAAAAAACAAAAGCTCTGTTTCTATATTGTTTACTGTTTCCTTGTAAGGGTTATCATGATGCTGGAATAAGTGCTATTAAAGAATAATTCAACAGTATCAAAGCTCCCCTCAGTGCTCAGAGGTCCAGTCATAACTCAGAATTCCAGTATTAACTGATATATAATATAAGTAACCTAAGGAAGACATTAGGGAACAAGATTTATTAATTTTAGCATGCAGCAACATCAGGAGTTTTTAGATTCATAAATTTGGGGAAAAAAGCCTTAGGTGAGGCAATAGTTGCCAGTCAATTTATTTCTTGCTTGCAAAGTCAGTGGTCATAAAAATTGCAATTACTTTTAAGCAGCTTACCCCAAAACTAACAGGCATGTGCATTTGTGGTCCAGGAGACATTTGTGCTTGATAGTAGAAGGAACCATCAGACACTGGGGATGGAGATCTAACTGGCATTTGAGATGGTGTGAAACACTTTGCATTAGGGTTGAGTTTGAATTCCTGATAGCATTAAGCGTGTTAGATGTGAAAACACAACCAAAGGAAAGCAACAAATCAAGTTAAAAGGTACACCAAAGAACAGTTAAGACCTACATAATTTATAACTCTGTATGTGTTGGGGTCAGCTTATCACGCACCAGAAAGGCAAAAAGAAAGAAAGAAAACACACCTTCGCATGGGGATTCAGTGTTGACTTCTCAGAAGATAATGAACCCATTGATGAACTTGGTGATAAGCCAGGGCCACTAGACGCTAAGACAGCACCAACACAATCTGAATTTGATGATGTAGAACTAGCAGGTCGTCCACGGGAATTTACAAAATGTGCTTCACCAGTTGATTTGCTAGAAGCTGGACCCTCTAAGAGTTCACCTGAAGGACTTTGGTTTTCACTAACCTTCGACAAAGAATTAGATGGAGCATGAGTGGTAGGATTTGCAGATGGCCCAGCTTTATCAGACCCATCAACCTTGTCATTCAATAATGACTGAGAATCTGCATTACAAATTGCTCTATGGTCAGCATATTAAAATAAAGAGCCGCAGCAGCAAGAGTAATTGCACTGTTATAGGGTGCAAAATAACAAAAAATACAATTCCAGTTTCAATTTTATAGGAACACCAATCACCTAGATAGTAAAGCATACTCACCAACAGAATATGACAATTGCACGTCGTCAGATGGCTGCATTAATATGAACAGGAATTCAAACAGAAAACGTACATGTTAGAAGCAAAAAGTGTAGAACTAGAGGCACTAGAACAAGGAGCTCCAATGGAGATATGAATCAGTTACAGAAGTTAAACCAACAAAACAAGGAGCTCCACATTCACTGTACAAGATTTGCTTATCCATGGAAGTTTAACTTACATGCTGCTTTTCCGCAAACTCTTTAGCATCAATGCTTCCTCCATGTTCACCAAGCAAACTGTCTTGGATCCTATATTACAAGTGTTTAAATCAGGAAATATAAAGAGCTAACACCTATTTTTGTCCAGGGAACTGATCCTTACAGTAATTACCTTTAATATTGCCTTAAACTAACAGAAACAAGGAATCAAAATAGAATAAGCAAATATACATCACGTTGGCAAGTCCAAAGGAAAAAGATAAAACACCTGCTTTCACTGTCAGAGACACAGAAATTTTTAGAAGGAAGTTCAGATGCCAGCTGCCTGGCCTCATCATTAAAGCCAGAGCGGTTCAAATCTGCCACAATGGCTGCTTGGGAAGATGGTGCCTCATCCTACAAACCAAAAAATAGGAGTATGTCACAAAGGACAAGGATCACACAAAGGAGAAATGCATGCACAAACAAACACATTGGACAATACAACTATCTTTCATAACACTTTGTACCAGACATGCAACAACTATTTAACAGTATGTCAAGAAAAATCCTTCAATAGTTTCTACCATTTAAATTGAAATAACCATCAAAGTGAAGACAGAGAAATTTATGTTTAGGAAGGGCTATGATGATAGACAAGTAGTGAAAAGAAAAACTTTAGAATAATGGCATTGTTGAAGCAAGTACCCAAAAGTAAACAAAAAAATCTTTAGCCACAGGATCCGCAATATAAAATTAGTCAAACTTCGACAAAAGTAAAAGAAATTCAATTAACTAACTCTAAGGTTAGAAGCTTGAAAAGTTGAACTAAATATATAATATGTGATTCCATCTCAAAATGTAGTCAAGATGTACATGCTCTCCCTACATTCATGACACTTTTCTGCTTCCAACAACCAAGCTAAAGTCGTTAAGCTCTCTCAACTCCTAGCAAATTAATAGCTCCTTCTGCATTTAAATTCCATAAACATTGTCACAACATCCTGTGTACTCAATCTCCCCATTGTCGTCAACAAGCAAATTAAGATTCATTTTGTCTAAGTTATAATTGAAAGAAAGAATAAAGAATAGCAGTCTGTAATGCACGAGAACCTTCTCAAGTAATGTCACTTACGATCAACTTCAGTAAGCATTCCAAATTGTAACTGAACCCCACTCCCCATCCCCCAAAACAACCCTTTTCCACCCACATATTTCCTAAGGAAAAGAATACATTTTCACATTGTAAGCAGAACCTGATCACAAATCTTTGGGACCATGGAACAGAATAACTACTCATTCTGATGCCTCTCAATATAACTACTCTCAGCATATCATAATATTCATAAAAACAGAAAGAATGTAATTCTACACAATACTCCTTCAAGGAAGAAATCAAAATTCCAGCTCATAAAGAAAGACCTTAGGCTTACATAAAATATATTTTTTTATAACAATCAAAGCCTCCAAACTTAATGTATAGGTCATTGAGTAAGAATTTACTTTGAATGTATCAAGCATTAGAATATAATAATCTCCTAGTGAACAGATAAGCCAAGGTCAGATTGTTATCTTATGTGTATAATCTCAATCATAAGTTGGCTGATTTATTTAAAAAAAAAAAATACACAACCAAAAAATGGTTAAAAAATTAGATACAACTAATCAAAATATATATTTGCATTCAACAAAGAAAGAGTTAGAATATCTCAAATTCCAGAGATCAATAACTACCATTAAGGAAGCGCTTGATGGCATTCGAACTCCATCAGAGCTTTGTGAACTGGTCAAATCTGCAGGCCTTCCACTGAGAGAATCAGAAGAATTTCCAAAGGTCTCAATGTTGTGGGAATCCAACATAATGTCCTCATCTTCTTCATAACCACTATCTTCAACCCCTCTACCCCTGTAGACAGAGGAAAATCTCATCTCCTCATCAATATCAACATTATCATGAAGATCAATGCCTCTCTCCTGTCAGAAAATCAAAATGCAAAGTATGAGAAAATTTGAGAAACAAATTAGTAAAGACAACAGCTAAAGAGGCAAAATTTGATATTAGGATAACCTTACCTCTGCTAAATGAAGGTCCTGGGTGTCTTCACCCTCAATCTCTCTTGCTATTCTTATTGCTTTCTTCTCCAACTCTCTCATTTGAGGACCCCTCTCAAGTTTTGTCGTGTAAAGTTCCTCATTGAAAGTACTTTGTACACCAAATAGCGTTTGATTGGTTTCAAACTGATCCCAGTTCCTAATAGTGCAATTATGTACATATCAATACAATGTTAATATGACAAAGTGGAAAGTTCATATATTAAGTGAAAAAAAAAAAAAGAAATAAAAAGAAAAACACATAAATGATCATCAAAATGCAAAGATTTGATACAAGATTCCAACAAAATGCTGACAGTCTCTCTTCTTTATAGCTCACAAACCTTTCTATCTACCAACAACAACAAAATCAGACTCCACCTGATTATTGCAACAATTGGCACCTCAAAGCATAAAAAAATTTAAAATTTCTGACACACGAGATTAGCATAACAAGCTCAAAGTCTCAACAGCATCTCCCTACCAAACTAATCTTGCAGAAACAAAAGTCAATTTAGAAATCATGTTTTTGATGATATCCTTGATTCTCTCACTATTAAAGCCATTAAACAACATTTCTCTTGAGTAATATCACATATTGAAATTTCCTAACATCTTTTTTCTAGGCAATTTATCGAGGAGAAGTAACAAGCAAGACAATTAAAAACAAAGGAATCAAGTTTGATATATAGAAATAGAGATTGCAATAGAAAAAATAAAAACAATTTAGATGCAAGTGGGATGAAGTAATTAAGTTGTTGGAACAATAAAACTATGACAAGACATTTTTAAGAGGACAGAACATCATCGCAACCTATTCCACGGGCTGTCAAAAGTATTTTCTAGTTCAGGACACTGTGGATCATTTTCATCAGGAACCCAGGGCTCCAATTGCCTCTCCAACTCCACATGACGGGATTGTGATATCACAGAATCTATCAAAATTTCCTGATGTTTTTCATGTTGGAGCTCACTTGCAAATCCATCCCTGGTTATAGCCACATCCTGGAATCATTTTTTTGAACAAACAAATTAATATTAACGAAACATAAGATAAAATTAGTCACCTTTTGTGTTTACCAAATATTTTAAGTTTTCAAGTATCATTCACAATTATCTAACTGAAACAAGCTCTTTAAAAGTTATGAAAGCCCCACATAAACTATTTGACATTTCATCTCTCACAAGCAACTGGACTACAGATGGAACTATAAAGATAGGAAAATCAGCAAAACCTTTGCTATAACTTGCACAAGTTCTTTGGCAGGTATAATTAAAATCTTTGAGGGTGCCTTGCTAACAAACTCTGCAGTAGCCTTGTGTCCTCGCAAAGTACCATCCTTTATCAAGCGAGCCATTTTCAAGATGATTCCTGCAGAGGCAAGGGAGTGGAAGTTAAGATGATGAATCATTTTATTTCAAAGTTCAATCTATTTGCAAAAGAATTCTACAGGAACCAAGATCAATTTGCATAACTAATTACAGATGCATAATTAGTATAAATATAAAAACAAATAACAAAGCATACCAAAATCTTTGTCTGCATCAGTTGCATGAAATATTCCAGCATAAATTGAACCACTTTTAACATGGACTTCCACCGGATGCCCAATAATACATGTTGTCAGATAAACTAACCGGTCACGGGAAGAAATCTCATAACCTCCAGACTTCCCACCCGCCGGTGAACCTACACCAGGTAGTATTAGATGAATAAAATAATTCAATAGTAAGAAATTCAGGCAAGAGAAAGTTCACCTGTAGTTTGTATTCTTCCTTGATTGGATTTTCCCGACTGCATCTTATTCTCCAATCTAGTCCCAACCTCTCTATCACCTCTTCGACGGCCAAATCCATTAGCAGAAGTTTTTGGCAACACTACTTGTTGCATATTCATCTCAGAAGAAAAAAAACCTGAAGAATTAGTTTTTACGGTATAAATTCAATACTTCCAAGATCCAATTCTAAAACATTAGCGCTTAATTTTTTAAAACCAAAATTTTCAGTTTAACAATACTTAACATGTTAAGAAACCAGTAAACCATTAAATCTAAAATTATGCAAATAAAAGAACATATCTCCTCTATCTTGTCATTGTTCCATAAAACCCATATACAGGTGCCTTTTCCTGGCAGCCACATCAATGGTAAAATTTCTTGGCTTTCTTCTCATTGACCTTAGAACCTTTATCCTTCACACCAGAAGTGGACCAAGCTTTAACAATACACAAAATAGACTCTATCCTTATATTTTTAATCCAAAACTTTCCACCTAGAAATGTAACTTAAAACTCATTGAATTAACAGCAATTTAATGTCCCATCTTCACGAATTCTGCTTGTTATATGTGAAGAAATCTTGTCATTTATTCAAAATACAAAGAGGCAGATCCTAGTTTTCTTAAAGATGTTACCAGAAACATATATATACACATCTCACCCTACAAGTTAACCCCAATAACAAAGGCAACAAAGCCCCCATATCAAGAATGACAACAGTTACTAAAGCAGAAATTCCTTATTTGCTATACTAAAAAGGGTTTTAGCTCACTTTAAGGAAATTCATAGGGCAATGACAGCAATCAAGAGAAATCAAGGTCAGTATAATGTAAAACAAACTGCATGAAGCAAGAAATGGCAGAAGCATACAAATTTATTGGCCGAGAATCGAGCACAAACGATGCAAGCAAAATTTCACAAAAACAGCAGGGCCTTTAATCAACTTGTGAAGGATATCAGACCACACTTCTTAACAATAGTTGGATTAATGTTTGAAATGATTGCATAAGTGCCCAAAACTTTTGTAGTTCAAAATTTAAAAAATCTTTGGCCCGACAGAGATACATTTTCCCTAAGCAACTTATGATTAAGATACCAAAACTAGGCAACAGAAACCATAATGGAGAAAATTGCCACTCTTTAGTTAGAAGTTGACAGATGTCATTGCCATTAGCAAATATACCAAATATAGCTTCCCAAAATGCATGCATGTATAACAACAAGTTGAACTAACCAAAGATAATATTTGGAATGTTTTGTCTAAAGAAATTATTACAACTGCTATAGCTATTGAACTAACCAAAGATAATATTTGGAATGTTTTGTCTAAAGAAATTATTACAACTGCTATAGCTATTGAACTAACCAAAGATAATATTTGGAATGTTTTGTCTAAAGAAATTATTACAACTGCTATAGCTATTGAACTAACCAAAGATAATATTTGGAATGTTTTGTCTAAAGAAATTATTACAACTGCTATAGCTATACTAACTTCAATATACACAAATAAATTACTATAAAAAAATAAGTTCAATCAATACTTTTAGTAATTAAAACAAAAACTAGCCATTTTTTATAACCTGAACTGCTTAACAGCTCACTAAAAAGGAAACAAGATACCTACCTTTTTTCCAACTTGCGCCACCCACCAAAAACTCTTAAGAATCGTGATAAACGTACCGGCACCCAAGAGAAAGTGAGATTTTATTCATCTAATTACCTAAGAACGACCTCAAAATCAAAGAACCAAGAGGATCATGCAAACGTCTAAGCCTAAGTCAATGAAAATATTTCAACTAAGAAATCAAAGCAAAGCAAATCCAATTAACATATAAGCATCAATTAAGGAGTTAAAAAATGTACAATTTACATACAAAAAATTTTACTGGAATCAAAATTTCATCTCCAAAACCGTAAATTAAAACTTATAATAATAGCAACCGAGTAACCCTAAATATAGAACTACTAATGCATTCGCATTCAGATTTTTCAACACGAAATAGAAAAACGATTAGAAAATACAATTGGAGAGCGATAAAAAAGAGAGAGGAAACGCGATCCTTACCCTAATAAGCTTAATTAAACGATGATTTCGGTAGGAAACCGACGATAGTCGGAGTTGGAAAGAAGGAGATTTGGACTCAGTGAGTTAGGGTTAACGAGTGAGGGTTTTCAAAAAAGAGGGCTCGAAAAGGGGAGGAGAAAGATCGAATCTCAAAACACAAGCGAAGAGCGAAGGGTCTCGGTTGTGATCGATAGCGAGAGAAAATAGAGAGTTTCACAATACTTTTTTTTTTTTTTTGGCTTTAATTTTGATTTGAAGAGAAAGGGAGGTGAAAAAAGCAGGAAATAGGGGAGAAATTGTGAATCCGATGATTGGAAAGCGGTAAAGATTCACTCTATCCAGATGTATGTTAACAACGTAAGTCCTATACTCCTATTGGCTACTGTCTTTGTATCCTTTCATTGTTCTTTATTTATCCTAGTGTATTCACCTCTACTTTTTTATCAATGGCCAAAAAAAATTATAAATAAAAAAGAGGTTATACCGATGCCAGCTATAACAATTATAATTATCACAATGCAATTAATTAAAATATTCCATAAAGAAACTACCAAATTTAAATATGATGAATTTAAATTATTTTAAAATTGAAATAATTCAAATTTAAATCATTTTTATTTTAAATTTTGTACTCAAATTCATTTTACCAACGCTTTATAACCTACTATAATTGTTGATTAACCGTTTTTTATTCGAGTTTTTTTTTTCTTTTAATTTGAAGTCCAGTTTAGGGGGAAAAAGAATTTATACTTATACTTTAGGCTGAAAAACAAAACTATGGTCTGAGAATAAATTTAGGATTACTTCCAATACAAAAATTCAAAAATTGGAATCAACATCAAGAATCAAAATCCGTTTTACCTTTATTTTATTTTAATAGGATTGAATTACTTTGAACCCATTCAATTTATTTTGCAGTTATTTCTTTCAAATTTGAAATGAATGATTTTGTTCCATCATTTCTTGTTTTTTTTTTTTTTTTGGCAATCCAAATCTATTAACAGTATCTAACTTTCATCTGCTACTTGGTAAAAAATGGTTATCCTTTTTCCATGGAGAACTGTTGGTTGAACCCAAATCGAGAATCTACCAAAAGTGGCAAAAGCAAAAGTAGACGCAGAGTTCACAGCTCCGATGGGATAGGAAAACTTTTTCAGCCATGCTCCCTGGTGTGGTAAATGCTTTGAATAAAATCATAAAAGGTCTTTTCCACGCAGGGAATCCATTTTCCGGAAATGTGTATCGGATAATTATTGTCCTTGCTCTATTGGAAAAGATATGATGACAGACGTCCGGATTCTTTATCTTTTGGGGGTCAACGGATTTCATGGTTATCCAATAAAGTCCAGAAAGTTTGTAACTTGTGACTATGATGACTAATTGCATGCTGGAATATGAAGCCAGCATGTTCTATTGATTTCAGAGGTTCTTAAATTCTCAATATCTGCAGCAACATAACAGTATGGTGGCGCAAATGCAATTACTTAGAAAGTGAAAGAAATTAGGTGCTTTTCCTTATCAAGAATTCTCTTTCTGCCGCAAGACAGGGAACACCTTCAAAGAGTGGTATTACCGTATTCCATGCAACAGCAACTAACAGTCTTCCACAAATTTTGCAGCATTAGAAACCGAGACACCTGCTGCGAATTTTGTAATCTTACCATTTTGAGACTGGGATTTTGATGAGCCTACTAGAATCTTATTAACAACATATCATTTTTGTTGTGAACTTAATGACAAATTCACATCAAAGAGCCTGCTAGGATATACAGTCATCATTCAGCAGAATAGTTAAACTACTAGTAAAAGGTTCCATTTTTGAAGAAATAAAAAGATCCTCTGTGAATTTAAAACTACATTTTAAAAGCCTGACAAAATTTAAATAATTAATTAATAATACAATTTGTTAAATCATGTTACAGTTTGAATAAATAGCTGCAGCACTTTCCAATGAATGAGATATACAAACCAGCAACCAGACTTAAGGGACTACCAACCAATCACGTCTCAAATACATAAAAGGAACATGATAATCATCATAATGTCATTTCGTCAAAAAATACACAAGTAAAAAGCAGCCATTTCACCGCACCACCTGGACAATATATTGGAATCACAATCTCCTGCGCCTGTGCAAGAAAAAGAAAACAAGTAAAAATTTTTCAGCCAGCTCCTCGTAGAGAGAGTAGAATTATATGATCACCCAGCAATGCAAATAATCAACTTGGAAGTTAGTTTTCAGAATGACAATAGAAGACCTTATTCAATTAGCAAGATCTATTAGCGCCATAGAATTTGGATATATATAAAGGAGGATTTGTGTCAGTTTAGACCTCAGAAAGAATGCTGTTATAGAACTATTGATAAGAATAAAATACCAGACTCAGAATATCATGGCTGTAAATTTAAATGGAAAGATTTAGGAAAGGAGAATAGACGCATAAGAAAGAATATCGACCAGATCAGTTGAAACTTAGAACAGGATGGAAGTGAAAAAAAAGGAAGATGAAAGTATGTACCACTGCAGGTTATAATTGCAAGTTGATCTTCTCAGACCAGTTAAAGATATTAGAATAAACTTGATCCCCTCCCAATTCTTCTCCTGAAGCGCCAGCTGCAACCCTTATAACATCCTCAATTAATGCAAAATTTCCCATTATATCAACATGAGCACCACTGAGGGTGCCGCGTCCCTCCAATAGGTTGGCTGGAGGAGAATGACTGTATTCCCTAATATATGTTTGAATTCCAGAAGGATTAAATCGGGTTTTACCACGCCAACCTTTAGCACACATAAAACCAGCACTTAGAACTGGCACAGTCTCATCTCCATCCACAGAATACACACCATCCTTCAAGCAGGTATCTTCATCATCAGCAGATGTGTCGATCTGAAAAGGAATATAACACTCAGCAGAAGGAGATAACTTGTAAATGTATGCTCTTTCAGTTGGTAGGCCAACTCCGTATAAAGAAAAGATTTCCATCTCAGGAGCATTTGGCAACCTACAAAATCAGTGACAGTGAATAGTGATTATGAACAAACATTTATAAACCAAAAGAGTATATACCAATATATTGCAATAGGCATTAACTAAATCAATTAATTGAAAAACAACAATCACAGCCAGCCCAAAGGTGCATTCATCATAGCCATATAGCCCTTATTTAAAGGCAAATTAAGAAAATAGAATTCAAGAAAACAATCAATAATGTTGAATGAGGCACCCGGCCACAATGCCTTTCTGTCGGCTTATCAGCCATAGATTCAATTTTAAGATAAACAAGCAAAAGGAGATATAAAGCAACAAAATTTACTCAAAAGGGAAACAGAATATCAAATGCCATGCAACAAGAATGATATGAAATAATGAAGTGATAGGATTCTCACGTTGTTTCCAATGGGTTTGACCAATACTTGTAGTGTTTGTACTTAGGGTCATCCAAATTGTCAGCAATACCAAAGGAGAAATGAGCAGTACCACGTGCCATCATTTTTGGAGCAACAAAATGAAGCAGATCAATAATTGATTCAGCAGTGTAAGTTTTATACTCTGCAACAGCTCTTATACCTCCAAATCCCATGTCATGGTACTCAGTCCACACATCTTGACAAGTTGTGTTTGCAGCACTATGACCCTTAACCGCACCCTGAACATTTGCAAAGCTAAAAAATAAGGCAATGACTTTAATACAACAAAGCAGCATGCAGCACAACATGGTGACCATTTCTACTCTTTTCCACAGAATGAAGAACTATAAGCATGAATTCTGAGTACACTTAGACAAGGGTTTCAAAGAATTATGCAATATAAGTTAATATTTCAACATTTCTATCTGATTCAAAAGCCATAAGTCTAGGTGATTCCTTTATAAGTGTGCCAATTGTATCAAGCAATAATTAATCTTGATGTTAACCATCCATCATAAGTATCTTTCACTTAAATTCGAAGCATGTGTTGACAATTACTATAATTCAGGGCAACTAGTGATTATTCTCCAAAAATTGTCCATTGCTAGAACTTTGCTAACCAATATACAATCTGTGGCCTTACTCTCTTCTTTTTCTTTTCCTGTTTGGTTATTTTAAGTTCTTTTTCTGGGCAAAGCTACCAGGGAACCCTCCTTGATTACAAGAGAAAATAAATTACCCTGAAGTCTATTCGCCCAACATCTGATGAAGGTGCCTCAGCAACATCTTTTCCAAAGGATATTATCCTTCCATAATTTGCACTTCTTGTTTGAGAAACTGCACTTGCAGCACCAGTTTGATCTGCAATCTGTGTGTCATTCTTCCTTTCTCCCTTTTTGCTACAAGAATAGCCTTCCTCTGGTGACCAGTCTAGACCACCCCATATTGTGTCCCCACCTCTTGGTATCATTGACATGGTTGAATCCCAACTGCGGCTCATCCTCATAACATGTTGCAATGTTTGAAGCTGAAATATATCATTATCCAAAAAACCAGGTGCAATAGCCCTGCATTTGGGTTCATTTTCGGTGGTCGTGTAAGAAATAAGTTTACAGTGTTAGTGACAAATAAAGGAGATCTATTGTTGTTCTTTGGTATATTTAAACTTAACAGCTAATAACATTTCAAATATAACTTAGAATGTAATAGAAATGTGGTTTAAAGCATGATATGTGAGGACACAACCTATTTAAAGGAACCAAATTAGTACTCGATGAAACCTTTCACATTTTCTCTACACTCTCCAAATGTCAAAGTTATCGTGCCAAAAGGATATAATGAGACCCTGGACAAACCATCATATACCTGTACAGTTGCTAAAAATAGTTGCTGCTGAGAAAGTATGTTTGATAGGTACCTGGCAACTGCAATATCCTTTGCTTCAGCAGAGAAAAGCCCAGCAATGGCTTTCGGAACACCCAGAAATGGCCCACCAATATTAACCACAGCTTTAATATGCTTAGAACACCAATCTGCTCCACCCCCACCACCCATTGGAGCTGGCGCCTCAACCCACTTCATGAAATGTAGGAAATACAGAACACCCATGGAATGTGGAATGACAACAGCCTTTTTGCCTCCATTTGTAGCTACCATCAGTTCTATATTACTCTTAATTTGGCTCAGTGTTTGGTCACGTACCTGATTAATTGGAAGATGTCAGCATCTTACAGTGTTCCAAACAAAATCAGAATGATAAAAAAGGACCATAATCAATTAATTCCATGGCCTAGGGGCAACGCCATAAGAAATTCAAGTTCAGGAAACTTTACCTCAGTGTTTTGAAATGAAAGTCTCCAATCATAGGCAGCCATATACATGGTTTTCTCCTCATATCCAATATGTGCCAAGCTAGCAATCAGAATTGCCCACACAAAATAGCCTGGAGCAAAGTAATCTGCAGCCACAAGTCCAGAGACAGGCCTTACTCTTATACCACAAGGATCCAATCCAGTTTCATTATCCAATGACATGTGCTCCACCCAGCATAGAGGTCTGCATAATATCCAATAAAACCATGGAGAGTTTATGACTTAAACACATAGCTACCACTAACACAAAAATCAAAATGTTATTGAACGGGAACAAGGAGTCAGTGAATGGCTAAGGCCTACCAACACAACAGGGGTCAGTTCTATTCTAATATAAATATATAATTTTTTCATTTTTATTGGATTGCAAGTTATTTACGCAACTGCAATACACTTTACATTCGAAAGAAAATTGTTCTTGATTTCACAATTTCAAATAAAAAAGAAAAAGTAAAAACTAAACAACTATCATAGATTACTTGCATGGATTAATTGAGTATGCCCTTCCACTAATGGAGCTTTCAGTATGCAAAATACATTGAAGAAGAAGATTTTAATTTCCACACTTACAATGTCCATGCATATCATTTATGTGATGAACCCCGTGCATAAATTCCTGCAGATTTTAGCCAAAAAAGAAAATCTGGCAAGGTCATTTTTGTTCTATGTCGTTTTGATGCATCAAGCAATCTCATGTTCAATTTAGAACAGCAAAAGGGTACATAATTAAAAGAGTAAAGACATCTATCCAACAGGTCTTGTTTGCTAATCCAAGAAAAGCATGAAAGCCTGTATGTGAAAAAACAAGCAAATAATAAACTGATGGCCCTGATGACCATGTAAGATATGGTATGCAAAGCTAGCAGCACAAATAACATTCAAAATTAGGCCGATAAGAAGAGTAAATTGAGAAAATCAAATGACTAATAAATGAGGAAACTAGTTGAGAAAGATAGCTAGCACAAAGTTAAACTAACCACACCTACAATTTAGCCACTATAAGTAACAAACCAACTTACAATTCCATTCAACAACAATGCCCCCATATCCTCATAAATCCCAACAACAGATCAATCTTTAACTTATTATATAACTTATTGTACTTACAAATTTCACACTCACAAGTTAATAATCATAATCAATCAATAAGAACAATAAATGGCCTAGAGTTCCAAAATCAAGATCAACAAAACCTCATAACTATAATCAGAAACAACAGTGCAGCACCAAAAACTGCAAAATTAACTCTAAACTGTAGATTTAGCCATAAATTCACATACTAGAATTTTTATCACGCGCCAAAAAAGCAAAATTTTCAATACCTGTTTTACAAAATCAACAAGCAATCCTATAAACAGCATTTAAATCACCAGTACCCTCTATTCAAAACCTTGATGGTAAGTGCAACCATCAGCGAGCTGAAGGAGTTGAATTCAAATCTCCTTTGCCCAAAATTATAACTTGGCTTGATTAAGAAAAAAACATAAAACTACAAAAAAATAATAATAATAAGCAGCCAAAAATTCGATACCTTTTGTACACTTCACCAAAAGTGCCACCCCACAGTCTTTTCCTAAACAACCCTTCCGCACATTTCCGCCCTTCCCACAGCTCAAGCCCACCAGTCACAATCCCAGGCACAAACACCACCGGATGCTTAGCCTTTAAACCTTCTTTCAGTAGTTTCACACCAGGCGGGTCCGGTAACGGCCCCGTTATAGCCTCCGTTACGTACTGAGGAAATGAAGCTGGCATTGCATTGTAAAGAAATAACAGAAGCCACCACGATACACATATGCAACCAATAAACCAACAGCACGTGTCCAGACACGACCACTTGGGTCGTTTCTCTTCATGCTTCTTGATCTTCGATGGGATTTTTTTCTTGTTTTTATCCTTACCGTTGCCATCTTCTTCTTCTTCTTCTTCTTCTTCTTCTCTTTCCTTTTGGGGTTTCGAATCTGAAGCTTCCGAGGTTTTGTCGGATTCATTGATGGGAGGCTTTCTTCTTCTAAGTAAAGACATGTTTTTTAATCAAAACTAGTCCGTCTTAAATGAACTTCAGTGTTAAATTTCTTTCTGTCTCAGGAGAAAACAAATCACTTGAAGCATCAAATCTAAACAGAATCTTTTATAGCAGATATAGACCACAAAAGTCAAAGGTCCAAAGCTAAAAATGGTTATCCAATGTAAACGCAAACCAATGTAACAACTAACTAAATTCTCCTTTTATAAAACAGAAGGTGGCTGAAAAGCTAAAATGAAGAAAACCCAAGAAAATAAACAGAAAAAAGAACTGGAATTTGTTTACAGAAGGGAATCAAAAGACTCCTTACTTCTTTTTTCTGGGTTTTAGTTTTTCTTAGTAAGTTGTTGAGGGGAAGCAAGCAAAGCAATCAAAAGACAGCTAAGTCAGAGAGACATATATTTTTCTTTGTTCTGTTGGATATCTATGGGGTTTTTTTATTTCTTATTTTTATTTTTTGCAGCTTTAGAGTTGCGTAAGGTAGCTGAAGTGGGCCCTGTCTGAATATGGGCCAAGTAACTGTTTGCAACGTTACCCTTTCTTATTGACTCCCAGCTACTAGGTCATAATTCACTGTCCTTTGATCGATGGATCTGGAGTTACGCTTTTACGACTGCGTTCTATCCACGTATAAAACAAATCTATGAATAAATGTTGATTTGAATTCCCATCTACCCCGTAGACCCAATTGAAACTTTTAAAAGTTTGTTCAAAGTTCGGTTCGACTTATTTATTAGAAGTCGTTTTATATCGGGCTATTATTAAATATTAAAAAATCAAGATTTTAAACTTAATTTAAAACTAAATTTAAATAAAAATAATTCTATATTAATTAAATCATATTTCAAATTTGAAACTAACTGAAAAAACTGTTTAAGGCTTGATTCAAGTCAAGTAAGCCCGTGAACTTAATTGGCCCCCGGCCCATAACGAGATTACTATAAAGATATGGAATTTAAATCCTCTGTTCACAAAAAAAAGCAAAAAAAGATTGAATCTAAGGGTATAATTAAAATATAATTAAATCGAGTCAAATTTGATTCGAAATTCGGTTTCAGTTCCATCACGATTCAATTTTCAAATCCTTTGTTAAAAAGATTGGGAATTTGATTCCTAAACAAAAAGGAATAAGCAAAAGGAGATTGAATTTAAAGGTGCACCGAAAGATTTGGTTTTGCTGAATGGTGATTTGAATGGATCTGTTTATTAGGTAAAGCACGAGTCCCAATCCAGTTCTAAGACATTTTGAGTGGGTCTATTCATTAATTGAGCTATTTATTTAGGCCTATAAGATTGACCTAGTTCGTGCCTGGTTCAGGACTAAAATTTTTAGGCTTGAGCTTAGTTTGATGAATTAAAAAAGCTTACTTTGACTAATGAAAGCCTCTGCTCTACATTCGAATCATTGAATCAAGAGGTTTGGATATTAATCATAGTAAGATGAATCCATGAAGTACATGAACAATGAGAGTAAGTTATTGTTGCAATTTTCAACTTTCATCCATCTAATAAATTTGATCGGATTTAATTCGATTTTTTTAATATTATATAATATTATAAAATTTTAAATTTTAATTTTAATTCGAATCAAATTTTATATGATTTAAATTGAATTAAACTAAAATTTATTGATTTAATTATTAGTTTTAAATTTTAAATGTTTTATTTTTATATATTATTTTAATATATTTAAGTTTATTTTGATATAAAATTATTTTTTTTATTTTATAAAAATTTTAAAAATATATAAAAACTAAACTATATATAATTTTGTTCGATTTGATTTTTTTTTTCATTTCTCAACTTTCGATTCGAAATTCGATATGAATCAATTATATATTTAATATATGAACTAAATAAAAAAAATGATCTCAATCGAATCGAACATTACAACTTCGAATCAATTTTTAGTTTTTTTATTTTTTATTTTACCCTTATGATAGTAGGTTATTGGCTTTTTCATTGTAATTGTGTAATTTTTAAATAAAATATTTTTATAATAAAAATTAAAAAATTTTGCAAAATACTAAAATTTAAAATTGATTATATAAATAAATTAAAACAAACTTTGAATTTATTTAATAATAAAAAATTAAGTTCTTAATTTAGATTATAAGAATTTAAAATTTGACAATTAAAAAAAAAATCAATTTGCTAGTTGCTACCAATCCTAGACCTATTGTACATCCTATATATAAATTTTTCATATTTCACTTGACTTACTTTTAAGCTTTGGGCTTTTTTGTTGCATTTTTCTTTTCTTTTTTTTTTTTTTCTTATTGGCCTTTTATTTTTTATCTTAATAAATAATCTTTTTTTTTGTATTTTAAATTTTAAAAAAATTTAAAAAATTTTTAGACTCATTTAATATTATTGATTAAAAATATTTATTTTTCATACTTTTTCCTTTTTATTTTTTAAATTAAATAATTTTGTAAAAAAATAATATTAACGTAATCTAGATTTAATTTTTTTCGACTTTTTCCTCTTTTAAGTTTTTATTCTTAAACAAATCCATAATATAAATTTTGCTATAACAGCTCATCATTAATAATGTCACGTGACAACTATTTTTTTTTCTTTTTGTTTATCGTCTTTTCTTTTTACTTTTTTAGTCGTTGTTCTCCTTTCTTTATTTATTAGATCAATTTTTTGAAAAAAAAAAAAAAACAACAACATAGCATTTTATTTCATTTTTTTGTCTTTCATTTTTTTTTAATTGGATAAATATTGTAATAAAAGAAATTGATATAAAGTTTTTAAGATAAACATCATTGAAGGTATGGATAATAAAATAATTTATATTTAACTTATTTTAATTCATTTAAATAAATATGTGTGTCATTTTTAATTCAATACTAAATTAAGTTTTTAATTAGATAAAATTTTTAACAAATGAGTTAATTAATAAAGATTATAAATAATTCATATTTGATAACTTTCAATTGGATCAATTCAATAGAGGTGTGATTTTTTCATCGGGACTGAGTCGAGGCAAATTAAGCTTTTTAAAGAGAAACAAAGTTAGGTTGACAACAAATTAATGGTGCTTTGCCGGAATCCACCTCAAGTTATATATAAAACTATCTATTTTATTATCCATAGTATAAATTTTGCACATTTTAGCCATTATAGGTTGTTCCCTTTAACCCACTTTTTGTTTTCACCTTCTTATCATTTTTTTTATTTCATTTATTATTTTTTCCTTTTTTTCCACTCTATATATTTAATAAATAATATTTTTTAAGATTTATGATTTGATTTATTCAATATTATTGATTAAAATTTTTGTCCCCTTTTTTTAACTTTTTGCTTTTTTTAATTTATTTTTATTAAATAATTTTGTTTAAAAATAATATCAATAGAGATATCTCGTAACATTGTCATTTATTTTTTGTTTTATTTTATTTATTTTTAAATTAGATAAAATTTACAATAAAATGACATAGTTAAAAGTGATGAAAAAATAATCTATATCCAATAAATTTTATTCCATCCCGATTCAATATGAATATTTAAAAAAAAAATCAAATCAAGTAGAGTTAGGTTTTTAGGAAAATGAAATAGGTTAAAAATCAAATTTAAAATGCTTTGCTCAATGTCATTTCGTATTTTATATATATATATATATATTATTAATTTAATTTAATTTATATATTATATTAGTAAAATTATTATTTGATATTTTAATTTAAAAAATTAATATTTTAAATTCAACGTGAGTATCTATACAGCACTCTCAATAAATTTTTTGTATTTTTTTTCTTTTTCAAATTTTTGGTTTTATTTTTATTTTATTAAAACAAACTATAAATTATTTTCTCATAAAATTATCCAAATCATTTAAAAATAAAAAATTAATTTTTTAAAATTATCTAAACAATAAATTATTCTAAATAATTTAAAATAATTATTTTAATTAACAAAAAAAATTTAATCTGCGACATTGGACTCATTTCTAATATCGTTGAAACTTGACGTATTCCTAATACCTAGGCCTAGTTCCATCCCGATCTCAGCCGTTAAGCTTAATTCCATGCCATCCGCTCACTGTGATCAGGTACAATGAATCAATGACTGAACGGCCCAAAACAAGAAAGGTTATGATTAGATTTAAACCGAGTAGGAAGGCCCAACTAGATTTATGCTTTTAAAAATAAATCCTCATTTAAATGATGATGACGTGGACTTCAAAAGTGGCTTTCAACGAGTAGAGTTGTTTAACTTTAATTGAATTAATCGATCATATTTATTTAATTTGATTAATAAATTATCATTAAATTAAGTTTGATAGATTATAAAAAATGATTTAAGAAAACTTTTAATTTTAAATTAATTCGATTTAAAAATTAAATTAGTATAAAATTTAATTGAAATATTAAAATTTATATATATAATTAAAAATATATGAATTTGTTTATTTTATTTTAAATAATTAGAGTTTTTAATTTAATATTTTAGTGTTTAAATATTTTTATTAGATAATTTTATTTAGTTCATTATACATTTGAAAAAATAAAAATTTAAAATATAATTTAATTTAATATATTTTATTATTAGATTAATTAAAAAAATTAATCAAATCAATCGAATTAATTTTTTTATTAAATTTTAAAATTAAAATTTTAATTAAATTAATAAAAATAATTTAATTAATTTAATTTTAAATAATTCAATTCAAAATTAATCCAAACCTAACTGACCTAACGAAGACCCTGCCAACAAGATTCATTGTTTTTGGTTTTTGAACAACAGAAATGTTGACCGTGTAATTCATGATTTGTACTTCCTGGAAATGCTTGGGGCGTTCCTTGACTTTGAAATTCAAAGGATTTAGGTGGGAAAAGGAAGAGTGGTCATCAGTCACGCCTTTTGTTTTGAAAGATAAATTATTTTCATCTAAGTTTTCAAAAATCATATATAATTTAAGTTATAAGATTTTTCAAACCTCCCAAGCAAACAAATTTTGGGAGTTAACTGATCTGTTTAGAGGAAAAATAAAGGGAAGAAGAAAAAATATTGATATAAAAGAGCTTCAAGTTTCCAGCATGTGAAAGCACATGCAAATCTTTTAATGAAAATCCATATCTTCACTATAAAAGAAAGAATTAAATTACGAAATTTAATTTAATTAGTTCATGTAATTATTTTTAAAAATTAATATTCAATAAATTTAAAATTTATATATTTTAATTCTCAAATTGTGATTTTTTTCGTAAAAAAATAATTTTTTTACCCTGTAGCATGCCTACAGTCCAAAAGGTTTAAAGTTAAACCAACCAGTTACATCAAGAATCTCACTTATTTAGACCAATTATTTAAACCATCATGCAGTCAATGTCTGACATTACTTTTTTTTTTCACTATTATTATTAGAATAATTTTAATTATTGTTGAGAGCATACTTAGCAACAGATACAAACAAAACCCTCAACTCT